TATTTGTACAAATAAAAACGATAATTTTGCCTTCTGTATATACTATTGGACAAAAAACCTGATTTCGTAGAAAAATTTTCATTTCTTATAGCAAAGTGATAGTACAAAATAATAAACACGGATATAAAATTAAGTATACCTTTTTAATTTTGCTATTGGAGGGTATATAAAAGTACTAGCGAAATGGGTTTTGTAGTATTTGCCACCCAACAAAACTGTTAGCAGATCGTTTTAAAACGTCTTGATTCTTTAAGTGAATATTAAAATTTAACTTGTAATAATGCATCGCTAGTCGTTATTATGAAGTAATTGTGAGTCAGAAATAGAGTGGCAAGTCATATAGATTGATTATTATTTATCCTTCATAGTTGAACACTGACTACTATAACTAATTTAGTTTATATAGAAGTATTCAATAAATTTATGGGTTTGCAAATTTTTTTCACAAATTTATTTTTCGTTTAACAATTAAAAGATTTTAGTCGCCTCGGAAATATAATTAATTTTAATTTGACAGTACATATAATTTTATTATATATTATAAAAGAAAGTTTTCATATATTTCTATCTTATGCTTTCCCGAATGGTTTTGAGTTCTCGGCTCCGGTTGTAAAAAAATATAATAGTTCACTTTCAAGCCTTTAAAATTGGTGCTAAAGTTAATTATTGAGATTAAATAAGACTAGCAATGATAATTCTTTCCCTAAATTAAGTCTGTAACGAACTTCATTTTTTCTATACAATTTTTAAAACTTATTATTTAATTGTTATTAAATCAAAAAGTTTTTTGTTAGGAGATTTAGTTTAGTAATGGGTGAGTATATATATTTTTTTCTATTATTTGATTATAAACCTTGTTTTGTATACTTAGAAAGTATATTATTCTAATATAAGTTCCTTGGATTTTAAGCTATAAAACTTTATTAAAATTGACATTCTTTAAAATTTTAGGCTATTTGATCTTAAATAAGCATTGCCTCTACCTCTTTTTTTCAACCCGGTCCCTAGTCTCTTGAGGTAGCGCAACACTAATACGTAATAGTGATTCTACTACTTAAGTGCAATCGCTGACTTTCTCTTCTTCCGAAAACTCAGTGCTTAGTAGGATGCTGATAACTTTTAAACTCTAACAATATATAAATTTCAAAAGCTTTAAGATCGTAGAAACAAAGTTAAAAAGAGTGCAAATCATCCTAAATTCATAAGATCTCTTCTAAGGTAAGAAGCCAACGAGCTGACTTTAGTTGTAAGGATGATAGGGACACTTTGCATTTTTGTACTTTCGTAAGGTAACCTTATTCATAAAGCGTAAACTGACTCTTCCTTCAAAGTAGGTAAGAAAAAAGGGGATCAAAGAAGGCAATTAAACTTTTACTTTTTTAAACTAAACAAATTGGAAAAGCGTGTGCTCTGATAGAAGCTCATATTTACTCTTACAACAATCACTCTTATTGCAGTTATAAACCAAGCAAAGTTATACTCGAAAACATCCCTCCCAAGCTCCCTTCCTTATTAAAGATAAGTTCCGGAAGGTTTGTATTTCTTAAGGATTTAAAAAACGTTAACGATAAAAATTTTAGCTCAATTATATTTTACTAGAGTTAAGAATCAGGGCGTCTTTAAAATATTTAATTTCTAAATAATAAAGTTCATATTAACGGAGCACCACTTTTTTAAAGTTAAACTAGAGAAGTAAACGTCTTGAAGTAACATTTTAACCACGATATGAAAATAGGCAAGTTTCCAGAATCTTAAATAGTTTAAAGAAACAAATTTGAGATCATGTCCCATTGTTGTGGATGGTTATGACATACATACAAGATGGGCGATGGCTACTAACGCAAAAAAAACATCGTTCGTCTTCGTTAGTCTTTACTCGAGCTATGGAGATAAATGAAACTACTAAAGCTTAAGAAAAATTAACTAAAGACCTGACTTTGTCTTTTTCTATTAAGTCGTCAAAGTATAGGAGTTTAAGCCTTTTTTAAGAAAGTCACTTATAAGACGTCCACTTTTTGGCGTGGTGGGAATTGTAGCAGGTCATATATGTAATTCCTTTATAACATAATTAAAAATTGTTTAGATGATAATACAGTAAGTAAAACTTGAAATTAGTCAACTAAGTTTTTAATAAAGGAATGCGTAGTTAAACGAGCTCTCGTTAAAACAGATAAATCTAACCAATTGAAAGCAAGTCATGGTGCTTCAAACACTCACTACTTGAAATAATTTGCTGCTTACAAGTTATCTATTTCTTAAATAACGTTTATCTTTAAAAAATAACACATGGCAATTGAGTTTGACAATTAAGTTTGAGCTAAGCTATTGGGATACCTATTATAAAATTTTATGAATAAGGCAAATCAAATAGTATGTGATATTACTATGAACGTACTACCTATTAATATTAATAACCTAAGCTTATAAAAAAACAGGAAAACGTCGAATAAGGATAATGAGAAAAATAGAAAGATTAGAGATTTAAAACGAACAGAAACCGTAATACGAGTACCAGCGGGCAGAGAACTAGATTATAAAAAATAAAATCCAAAATAAAGGAACTATCATTGTAGAAATAGAATTTTAAGGAAAGGCAGTAGAAAAATAATGGGGTTAGAATCGCCAAACAGTAAACAAAAAAAAAAAAAAATTGAGGACAGCCGAGATGATAGTATGGAACAGCGTTTATGGTAAATAATATAAGAAAAATTCGTGCCATGAGGGCGCTAAGACATGTGCGCAGCATTAATATTTAATAATCCAAACTAGTCAAGAGGTAAGGAAAATTGAAGGGACTGCTTGTTAGCTCTTAGTAGTAATTCTTTAATGCTTCCCTAGGAATAAAGAATTTAAGTTTTATTTTCTCATGATAGTGTGATACAAGTAAATAAAAAAGGTTATGGCTTATTTTTTATTTGTCATTTAAACTGAACTTCTTTTCATCTTGAATTTTTCTCCTAGAAAACCGGTTATTTCTTTAAAGCTTTATCCTTCATGTTTTCTAAAATGCAAACATAGTTGTTGTCAAGTGTATCACAAAGTAGAAGGAAATACTCTATTTACTCCTAGCGCATAATATAAGCTAAGTCCCATTCATAGCTGCTTTTATAAATCTAATTTCGTTCTTTCCTGTCTTTTCTTTCTACTATTTTTACTCTCCTGAATTTTTTTTTTAAAATAGTTACTTCTGTTAATAATCTTTGCTTTACATCTTTTTCCTCTTTTTCTCTTTCATTAGCTCTTCCTTTCCGTCTTATATTTTATTTTTCATTTTATCCAAACTGAACTTTTTCTTTCTATTTATTCTTTTCTTCTAACCATCTACTTCTCTCTTTCTTTTTTTCATGTAAATTTTTTTTCTCTCGTTCAACCCCTCATTACTTCTCCCTTTATGTTTTTTCGCTCATCTTTTTATAATCTTTCCTTTTCTAATCAATCTTACACACTCTTGTTCTCTTTCCTTTTCTATTATTCCCTTCTTCTCTTCCTCCTTCTTTTAAACCTTTGTATGTTCTTTTTTTAATTTTTTTTTTATCTTTATCTGTTATTATCAACCTCTTTTTTTCGTTCTCTCACTTTTTTATATCCTTTAGTTTTTCCTCTTCGAAGGTTGCTTGTGTATGTTTTTAGTGCGCACCATATTTACTATCAAAACTCTTTTATTCGTTATTATGCTAATAAAATTTAAAGATTAACTGATTTATGTTCCCAATAACTGAATAAGTAGCTACCCAGAAAATGATTTAATAAGAATTAAGGTAGATTATTAGTAATAAATTTGATAAATAGTACAATGAAATTAATTATTGCAGTAGAACGGTTATTTTACTTTTCCTCTTTTTTAAGCCCATAAAAAATCGTAGATTTGTTGCGTTTGTCTAAGAATTAGATTATTAAAGTTTTTTTTTAATTTTATCCATAAAGTATCATAATACTCTACTTTTTTAAGCAAAATCTTTTTGGACAATTTTTGGAATTTTCAAATAACCAATCAAGTTGTCAACTTGATTTCTTTGTTTTATAAAAAAAATAAATTAAAACATAGTGCTGTTTAAAATAACTTATTTTTTTTTTACTTGAAAAAAATTGAAGCAATGCTACGCTACCGAAACCGTAGAAGTGAGAAAAGGAGACATAAAAGTAGTAATATAACAATATTCGGCTTGACGCTTAAAAAAAACTTGAAAACTAAAAAGTTGGTAATATTCACTTTGCTAAATAGTATAATCTTTAAATTTAAATTAACAGCGCACCACTTTGTAGACTTTTTCTAAGTGTAATCACTTTTTTCTTGCTAATTATTTTTTTTAATATAATATAAGATTTTGAGGCACCAAATTAGCAGGCTTTTTATATTGCAATTATCAAAGTTACTTTCTTACAATACTTATTTTTTTTTTTTTAAAAAGTTTTTAGCACACCAAAGTTGCAGCCTTTCTCTATATGCGCTTATGAAAGCTTTACTTTCTAAGATTTAAAAAAAAAATGCATTTAGCACAATTTTTTTTTTTCAGGCCTTTTTTTTTTTGCAACTACCAAACTTTTTTACTCTGCTAACAAAAATAATTTTTTAAACACAAAAGTTGCAGGATTTATCAAACTTTTTTCCCTGCTTATTATATTTTAAAAAAATATATTTCAGCAGACGAAATGTACATGCTTTTTTTCTAAATGCAATTGCAAACCTGAAACTTTTTTTTTCCTGTTAACCAAAATTTTAAAAAGAATTTAGCTTTTTAAAAACTAAACCGAATTGCAATTCTCGCAGTCAATTACTTTAGTAAAATCGTAGTTACAAGCAAGTCTTATAAATAAAAAAAGAAATTTCTTTAAATCTTAGTGAATCTAAAGCGTAACTCGCAAGCTCGCATAACAGAAAACATCAAATAATAATATATAATAATAAATTTTATTATGTAATTTTATTGTATTAATAAGTTTCATAAATAATTTTTCAAGTAAGAATTATATAATTTCGTCAGTAAAAAAAATTCTAATTATTGAAAAAAAAATTCATTAAAACGATCCTATTCTTTAAAAATTTTCCACTGAAAAGTTCTTAGCGTTTGTTTCTAAATATAAAAATAATAGTAACAATAATTAATAATAATAATTTAAAAACCACCCGAAACAAATTTAGAGGAATCAGACAAATTCAGTTTTTCTTGATTCTAAAAAAATAATAAGTGAATAAAGTTTTCTATTATTTTTTATAATTATTTATACTTTCCTAAATTACTATTATTACTTTTACATATAAAATAATATTATTGTTCTTAGATATTATTATTATGATTACTATTATTACTTTTATATATCATGATTAGAATTTCTTGTATCATTATTATTATTACTATATACTTTTATAAATCATAATTATCGTTATTACTATTATATATAATTATTATTTATGCAGTTGTTATATAAATTATTATTAAAATTATATTTATGTATATTTTTATTATAACTTTTATATAATTATATTATTTACTTCTTTTATCAAAGTCCAGTCATACAAATAATCCTTTTCGAAGTTCATTCTATCGAAAAGATGCTCAAAAAGTTCCATACAATAAAGATAGTCGGGCTCAGCTTCATAATCCAAACTTTTTACGTAAAGTAAATATCGTTCAAACTCCACTAAGAAAAAATACAGGAAAATATTTTATTATAAAAAGTTTTTCTAAAAAATTATTACCTAAAAATATAAATTAATTCATTCTAAAAAGTTCTAAAGATATAACTTTGTAAATATATGATAGTAAATATCATAAAAATAATATTTTATTTAAAAAGTTCAAAAAAAAAAGGTTAGGAAAAATATAAAGGAAGTTTTCAAAAATAGTAAGTAAACAAAAAAAAACTTTAAAGAAAAATATTTTTTTATAAATAAAAATAATTATATAAAAAAGTCAAAGAAAAAATTAATATTATAAAAAAATATATAGTATTTTGTACAATAATACAAGTTAATAAAAATATAAAAATATATATTCAACTATAAAAAACTGTTATTGTTACGCTTTATAATAAAAAGTTTTGTAATGTTATAAATATTATAATAATAATAAAGTGAAAACAATACAATTTTATATGAAACTAGTATTAAAATATTTATTAATAATTATACAAAAATGGAAAAATAATATACTTTGTAATAAAACTTGAATATAATATAAATATTAAAGATGGTATCATTTTTCTATGATAATAGAAGTTTTAAAAAAATATATAAATGATACGAAAAAGAGAAATATAATAAAAATTTTTATAGAAAAAATAAACATGTAATAAAAATGTAGTATAACATATTTAAAATAAAACTTGCATGAAAATTTATAATGAACATAATATATATATATATATTACTTTGTTATAAAAATATCTTTTAAAAATATAAAAGAACAAAAATAAAGTATAATTTTTAAAAAACATAATTCACTTTTACATCATTTTTATATAAAAATATTACTATCATTATTATAAAAAAAATAATTAGATCAAATTGCTATAATTACTTTTTGGAATATTACATTTAAAATCTTATAATTATTACCATAATTTATTCATTTACCTTTATATAATTTTTTTATAATATATGATATAAAAATAATTTACTTTACATTATTTTTTTATATAAAAATAGTATTTTATGTAAAAAATGAATATTTTTGTTTTTATTATATTTTATAAAATTTATAATTATTAATATGTATTTTATTTAATTATTAGTTATTTTTAAAAATCTCTATTATAAGAAAAAAATTTTACAGGGAAGTTCCTTGCAAAGTTCAGAAACGGGAGTGCTTATCTTTACTTGCTTGATCTTTTCATATTTATCTTTTCGGCTCCTTCCTTTCATTCCTAAGGCATATATAATATTTACTCATAATAATATAAAATATATAAAAATATATAATAATATTAATATACTTTATAAAATAAAGTTTTCTTTAATAATTTATAAAAATCATATACTTAAAAATAAAATATAAAAATTTTTCTTTAAAAGAATATAAAACAAAAAAGTTTTTATAATTAAAAAATATCCTTCAAGAATAGAAATAATATATGAATTAAAAGGTTTTAAAAATAATAAATATGTATTTTATAAAACATTTTTTAAATAATTTATATAAATAATTATAAAATACTCAAAATTCAAAACTTAATAAACATATTTAACAAAAAATTTTTAAGACAAAACATGAACATAAAAACTTCATATTTAAAGAATATATAATATAAATTTTTCTTTTAAATTCAATAACATTTTATATGAATAAATTATTATAAACAAATTATAAAAAAGAAATATAAGTTTTTTAACAATAAAAAATTAATATTTTTATAATAAAATTTATCTAAATAGCAAAATATGTAAATAATATAATTAATAATTATAAAAAAAAGCATTAAAAATATTGAAAAAGCAAAGTAAATTTAAAAATATAAAAAATTTCATAATAGTAGTAATAGAAAAATTAAGTCCATCAATCGTCACATAAATAAAGCATAACAAAACGTCATTCGTAAGGACCTTGCCAAGGGAGCTTTCCCTTTAAAAAATAAATAAGCATATACCCTAAAGATTCAAGGTCGTCTCTTCGGCTTTGCTCTATAAATAATAATAATAATAACTCAATATAGTTATTTACAATAACATATAATAAATAGAATAGTATACATTTAAAATTAAAATAATTGAAAGAAACAATTAAATAAAAAGATAAAAAGTAGAAGTAATACTAAAATATAGACGTCTGAAAAATATTACTACAGCTATAAGCATAATATATTAATAAATGAAAGCTATTGAGTTGCCGCCATTATTTAAATGAAAATAGTTAGTATATTATTATAATAAGAAACCGCTATAAATGCTAATGATAATAACTAATATAGAGTTGTTAAAATAGCAGTGCAATGGAAGTTATATTAATAAGTAGGTTAAGCCTTGTTTATTTCTAATATTTTTACTCTCCCGTGAATAGTTCTTAATGTTTATAATGAAGACGTAGTTCAAAAAATAAAGAGACCTTGAGAATATGAGTCGGGTTGTATATACTTATATTAGTTTTAAATCGCCAAAAAAGCTTAGTTGCGTCTAAAGGATCTGACAAAGATAAAGGGAAAGTCGAAGTTGTTAACAAGGCACCCGAAGGCGGTATTAATATAGCACCGCAATACTTTAAGGAGGCGATTATTCCGGTTCAAATGATGCTTAAAAAGCTTATTGTACCACAATCAAATCATTTAAAGTATTAAAAAGCGCAATTACCACTAAAATCCCATTTATTGTGCCCATTATGCCGTAGCAAAATAAAGTAAATATATAGATAATCTTAATTTGCTCCTACTTATAATTATTGTAACAAATTCGTAAATTATAGAGCCTCGAAATATCATTTTAATATTACCGCATTTATTATTTGCCCCTTAATAGTAAAGCAAAAATAAAAATAGGCTCAATCTGTTTATTTTAATAGACAGGACGCTTTATATTACTTGAACTTCTTCGTTCATGTTATCTGTTTTAGCTGCTTCTTTGGTAGCAAAAAATTCTTCTTTAGTTATATAAAAATTTCCATTGGTTCTTTTCTTTAGTAAATATAACTTTTGTAAGCCAGTCATTACAACTTTTACATAACTCAAACAATGACTGCTTCATATTAATTTATTTGGCTCTCCGTTAATGCTATTAAAATGACAAATTATCTTTACTAGATTATTTGTACGCCATTGGCTGCTTTTCTCAGGTTTCCCAATTTATTAAATAGAAAAAGTAACAATTTGTAGTTATTTATATATTTTTATTTAAAAAGGCAATAATATTTTAAGAGAATTCAAAAGATTAATAAATATACCAGTAAAACGCTTTTCCTAATAAAAAATATTAAACCTCAGAAAGAATAATGAATAACTTTATATGATAGAAAACAAATTTCCACGTTATTATTGTTAATTATATTTTTTATATATATATATAAGCAATAAATATAAAAAAACTAAAAAAAATATTAAATTATACTTATACACATATATTATAATAATAATAGTTAAAAAGTGAAGTGACGGCCTCTATACGACAAAAGTTTAATAATATAAAAAAATATACATAAGTTTTTTGAAATAAATTCAGCCAATAAAATATCCCAATAGCAGTTTAAAGAATTTATGATAAAATAGTTTTCTGCTCTTAAATAGTAATAAAAAATAATAATGAAAAGTAAACTTAAAAAATAAATTAATATAATATTAATGAAACGCGGCCATTCTGTACTACAATTGACATAAAAATGCAATGAAATCAAGTTATAAATCATAAAATTGTTACAAAATTGATCAGTCACAGTACCTACAAGCGGTGAAAAAAACGCCAATAAAAAAAATTGCAATAATGTAAACTAAAACGGCCAGTCTATAGTAAATACTATTTCCCACTACACCCAATTAGAGTAAACGGTGACAAAAAAAGCGAACCGTAACCAACATGGCTATTGCAGCTGGCGTACCTCGCGGTGCCCACGAGGCTTTTATGTTCGCGAAAGGCATTGTGCTTTCCGTGGCGCATATACTTTTTAGAAAGTCCAAAGTCTATTATATAAACCTTTGAGTACTATTATTATTATTATTACTATTTATTATCTTATATTTAGAAACAGTTTAAATAAAATGCGAATTTTTCTAATAAAAAAAAGGAGAGAGTTAAAGGAAGTGCCACGGGCTAATGCGCAACGCACTGCTGGGAGTATTGTACCAGTTCATATTTGTGTAATAATAAAAAGACTCCCATCAATGACGCTTAAATAAAAGAGTCAATAAAAAATCGAGAATGAGTCGTAAGAACGAATAGCAGCGAACGAGCGCACCACAAGGATAATTTTAGATATAAAAACACGTTCCTATTGGAGAAATGGCTAAAGAAAAGGGGCGTCAGTTCAATGCCAATGCATAATTTAAGGCACGGCGATAATGAAAGTGATGACCACTAAAGCACCGCAACGATTGGAGGGGGAAACACTACAACAATTAGTGGGGGGACATGAGGTCAAAGAAAACCAGATTCTACTCCAGCGGCAGGCAAAATCTTCGTGTATAATTATTGGTGGATTTCTTGCATGACCGCAAAATAGCGACCCTTTTCCGCGTTCAAGATAATGCTTTTCTCCAATGACAACTATTAACTATGCCAGCTAGGGCAGGAAACAGTCCCCCTCCCCTTGATTGGTTTGAAAAAAGGGCTCCTAATGGTCAGCAGTAAAACGGTTTGTGCAAACCATGTGACTCAGCCCAAAGATATGATCAATTAATAGAATTCCAAAGAGAGCATCACGTGGTAATAAATGCGTTATTTTGTATAAAAAGTTGTGCGATTATTAATTCGCATCCATATTCGCTTTATTACCGTATTATTATTATAACTGTTGTTGTTCTTGTTGTTATTTACAATATTATTATTTATAAACAATAATAACGTATCGTCTGGCGCTTTGCAAGCCCATTAAAAAGTTATCCGGCTTAATATCTCGATGTAGAAATCCTTTTCTATGCAAATTTTCAATTCTTTTAATCTGAAGTAAAAAAAATTATATTTTGATATAAGAAAATTGAAAATAAAAATTGTGAAGTATTTCAGTATATTTAATGAATTTTCTAGAAAAAAAATTAACATATTTATAAAACTTTTAACTTTGATATAAATATAGTGAATTCACCACAAAACTTCATATAATATTTTTACTAAAAAATTTTCAATTTTCATATCACCAAAAAAACTTAAACAAAAAAAAATATGCAATATTTTAATTTATACTTACAAATTTTCAAATTTTCATGATAATAAATAATAATATTCTTTATAAAGTATATTTATATATATACGCATTGGGTGGCTAGAAGCAATGCAGTCTTCAGGGAAAACTGTTTATTGCAAAACTGGAATAGGTCTTCCAAACTCGGGCCTGTATAAATAATAAAAGATAGAAAAAGATAGAAGAAAAAAATAAAAATTTATTATAAAAATAATATAATGATATAAAAAATAAATAAGTAAATAAGAAAAATATAGCAAAATAATGTTAAAAATTTATTATAATAATAATAATAATAATATACAAGAGAAAATACAAAAATATATAAAAAATGGAAATAAAATAAATTAATAATAAAACTATAAAATATATATTAATAAGAAAAAGGGATAAATAAAGTTAAGATAAATAATAATAGATATATAAGTTAATAAGAGAAGGAAAAAATAAAAAAAGGGAAAACAAATTTAATATAATAATTAAATGATAATAGCATAAAAATAAAAAATTCATAATAATAATAAAAGAAGTATATTAATAATACTAATCTATATAAGTAAGAAGGATGAAATATAAATAAATATGTAATAATAATAAATATAGATATTAAATTATAAAAAATAAAGTAAACTAATATTAAATTGATAATATTATATAAAAATATTTAAGAAAATAAAAAAATAATAAAATTGAATAATAGTAATGAAATAAAAAAAATGATAAAAGTATAATAATGGTAATAAAATAATAACATTTATAATTTTTAATATTAATACTAAGAAAAATACTATAAAAATTTAATAATAATAGTAATAGGAAAAAATTAAATAGAAAAATAATAAAAAAATTAAAAATAATGAAAGAATATATAAAATAAAACAAAATTATAATATAAAAATAATATAATAAAAAAGTAAAAATTTAAAAAAATTAAAATAATAAAAATTTTTAATATAAATAATATTATAAAAAGAAGAAAATTCAGAAATAACACACCAACAAATTTTAGCGATAATAAAAAAGTTATGGAACATAAATATAATAATAATAAGATTTTATAAAATAAGTAATAATAACATTAAGATAATGAAAACTGTATAGTTACTTCTAATAATAACACAATATAAAGAAGTAATATTAAAATTTAATATTTGATATATACATATAAAAAATGATATTATTATAATTTATATATATATAATAAAAATTTTATATAATTCTAATTATAAAACAAAATAATTATAATATTAATAAATATAATAATTAATGTGTATATATATAAAAATTAATAAATTTAAATTCTATTTAAATAAAAATTTCCTTAAAGTATTATTATTACTTTAAAAAAAAATTCATCTTATTATAAAAGAATTTTTATTAACAATTATTATTATTAAGTCAAATACTTTTTATAAAAAAATTTACATATAATCATTATTATTAAAAAAAATTATTTCCAGTATCAGAAGTTCTATTTATTATTATTATTAATATACTTTTTTAAGAAATTGAACATTCATATTAAATAAAAATTATTATAATTATTTTAATTGTGTTGTTACGTTTTATAACAAAATTTCTATTACTGTTACTTTTATTATAATTTATAAAAAATATATATTTTATGTTATAGAGTAAAATTTTAATTATTTACTTAAAAATATTTACTGAAATAAGTATCATTCCTTTAATATTTTAATTTATTTATTATGTTAATAAATAATCTCATACTTACTATTATACTACTATTATTTATATTACTTTTATATTATTATATAATAATATTGATATATTTATAAGATAATTCACTCATACTTATTATTATACTACTATTATTTATATTACTTTTTATATTATTATATAATAATATTGATATATTTATAAGATAATTCACTTTAATAATATTTAATTATCTATAAAACTAATATAAAACTTTAAGAAAGTAATAAAAACTTAATTTTTTTATTTAATATTATTTAAAAATTATATATATTTTACTGCTTATTATTATTTATAAGTAATTTTTATAAGTAATTTTTATATATTCAAAGTATTATTCTTATTATATAAACTTCATAATAATTATTAGTATAAATTTATTAATATTATTATTTTATTTATATATATTTTTTCTTTTGCTAAAATTAACGTATTTGTTTATATTAAAATTAATAAATATAATTTATTTACTCATTATTTGTTTACTTATTTTTTATTTCGCTATATAAACAAAAGTTTCAAAAAAAAAAATATATACAACTTTATTAGAATTATAATAATAAACTCGCAAAGGAGCTAAAGTTACATAATGACAATAACAAATAATAAATCACGTGAGTATAGCACGGGGCATTGCCGAGTCTTGCAGGAAAGCACAAATATAAGTATAATTATTTTTAATCAATAATAATAATAAAACACCAAGTGACTTTAACACGTGGATAGCCAAAAAAAGAAAAAAAATAATTTAAAATTCTAACCAAGCAGTTCGAGGACAAGCACATAACGATTAGAGTCCTGCCCATACGCATAAATATAAGGAAAGCCAAATTCTCCTTGTACAGCCTGAAGTATAAGAAAATGCAAAAAAAAAAAAACAATAAATTTAAGTAAATGTTTTATAATAAACTTTACCAAATTGAAAAACATTATATATTAAAATAAAATCACACATTCATTGGAATTTATATAAATTTTTCTTATAATAATATATATACACTTTATAAAAAAATTATCATTTTGTATTCTTATATCTAATATATTTATTATAACAAAATAGAATTAATTTAAATTTATTTTTTTTATACAGTTAATAAATGTCAAAAAGATAATCCAATAAAGTTAAGGTGCGTTGCTTTCAGCGGAAATCTGCAACTACACTACACGCAGCTTCGCTATAAATAGAACACTGGTATTAAATTTAAGAAAGCTAAAAAAAAATAATAAACAGCACTTTAACATTTTTTAAAAAGTGCAGAGCAACAAAAGTTAGTCACTAATAAAAATAATTAAAGCTCACTTTTAACACTTCAGTTTCGTGTAAAAGCTGTTTAGTTCTAGCTAAACTGGATTCCAGTTTTACTGCCAATTCTTTTTTAGTTAATTGGCAGATGCCTAAAAGATAAATAATTAACTTTATTAAAAAGGCTAAATATATATATATATATAATTTATGTCATAAGATTAATATGAAATTTTACGTAACAAATCATTGTAAGGACCTAAATAAATTTTTCCAAAAGAACCAGAGCCAATTTTTTTAACCAAAAGAATAGTTTTAGAATCAACAAAAACCTCCGTATTTTTTAAGGACATTATCTTAGATTAAATGGCAATATATAATCTAATAGCGCTTGTAAAAAGTTTAAAAAGAAAAGTTTGTGAAAATAATTTAATTATAAGTGAGGATATACTGAACTGCAAAATATTGTTTTGATAGAAAAATAGTGGTAATAAAGAGTGTGATACAATTTTTTTTTTTGAAGCATATAACACTGCGTGGGCAGCTCCAATCAACAGCGTTTCAGCGCCAACTTTACTAAAGAAAAGTTTATCCTATAAATCATTTCAGATTTATTAAAATCTCATTTATTGTAGGCTTAAATTTTTTTGCGCAGAGTTATTTCTTGCAGTTTGTACAGCACTCAACTTTAATTATATAACCATTTAAGTTCTCTAACATGTGTAAATGGCCAAAAAAAAAAAATTCTTTTTTTAAATAAATGTTCCTCTTCTGTTTAGTAAAAACTGCTAAAAAGTTATATAGTTTTTAAAAGATTTCAAAAATATTAGCTAATAAGGGATGTCATATTAACTTTCGTTTAAAATTATAATTTAATTATAATCTTTTTAAAATAAGTACGCCTAAAAAACTTATTATTTCACTATATCTTTATTATTAAATTTACAATGCATTTTAACAAACACCGGGAAGGAGATAATGATCATTACAATGTTAAAAATTACAAAGATACAAAGAGCATAAAGATATAATATGGCTAAATGCGTTTACAATGGGCATCATGCACGTACTCGACTTAAATAATTTTCCCTTTAGCAGAAACTTTTGAGTTCGCTAATGCATAAACGATTCGAAATAGTTATTCAGGTTATAGAAGAATTGCAACTAATGACGTTTATTTATAAATGTAATTAAGACAATTCATTAACTATTGGTTTTTTTTAATAACTTAACGCAAACTGTATAAAAACATAAAAATATATAATTATATCTTATTTCACAATATATGGGTATGTATATTAACTGCACTTAGTAAGCTGTAAGTATAAAGAAAGAAATTATAAAAGAATTGGGGCCAAAAGATTATTAGTTTAGTAAATACAGCAATCTTATAAAATAACTCCATTTTATTATACGGAATAGTGCAAGCTACAGACTACAAGGTTTTCAATTAAAAAGGCAATACTTGTATGTAATTCTAAGAAATTATAAAGTTTTTTTTAAAGAAGTTTGTAATTAATGTAATTATTATTATATACAGTACTTTACTTCTAATACTTGTAATTTAATTACACAACGATAAAATATTTGGCTTATAAAATGGTATGACCCTAATGATACAGTCTGCTTTTCTAAATACTAGGCACGTTGATAGACCAATTCTTAACTTCATTCCTCTTTCATACTTTGATTAAAGCTTAATATATGTGAGTTAAAGGCTATTAGTGGAACTTTTATGGGGTATAAATGCTTGACTTCTTTGAAGCTTAAATGCATCCTAAAACGAGCGCCTCATTAAGTTAAGCGTAAATCAACCCTGAGAGTTGCAGGCAATGTTCAAAAAAAAAGCTGTTAGTTTTGCTTGTAATATTGATAAATATTAATTTTATTAAAAATAAAATTTATTTATTTACGTATTCATTGCACTGGCACGCTATAATCGTTATGGGTATGGTAACAAACACTGATCAATCTACATTCCCTTTAAAGTGAGGGAGTTCGAGAGAAGTCTCTCTCTGCGAAGATAACCTCTATGAGAATAAATTTATTTGTAGTGTCAAGAGTAAACTTAAAGACTTAATATACATTTTGTGAGATTATTGATTAAATAAGTTACTATTTCCATTATAACAAATAGTTATTAATATGCCATAATTGCTATCATTTTCTCTATTATTAGAATTCAAATATCACTATATTATTATAAGCATGATCTCTAATATATTTTGACTTATCACTTACCAAAACTATTATAATTTTGTTTACCATTATTACCAGTATTAATGTATTACATGAAACTTATGTAATTAAAATTTTTACAAGACATTGTAAGAAAGTGTTTGGTGATTTATATATATGGAAGTAGCTAGTACTTTAATACTATGACCCTTAGATGCTTTAATGAACTACTCAGCTATGCGCTAAGTAAACTAGAAAAAATTTGTAGTTCGCATTCTTGGTATAACTTAAAAAGTCTCACACACCAAAAAGTTCCTACAAACATTCTAATAAGGTTTTTCTATAGTTACAGTCTATCTACGCTGGGAATCGAGTAGTTGGCTAAGCTCCTAAGTGTAACCCAGTACTTGTCTAAAGAAAACTTTGCAGATATTTAATTTGTTAAAAAAGGTGAAATGTAGTATTTTTGTATAACAAAGGTATACAGTGTGCGTCGTATTTTCATCTTTACCTTGAGATTAGCATACGTTGCTCTTAAATAAATTTAACGGTTACTCTTCACGTGGTGAATCAATCTTTAAATAAGTTAAGGTGAGACTGCATATACTTAAAATTATAGAAGTGAAGCTTTCGCGCTATTACAAACCTCAGTTTCATCGGCAAACACCGCTAAAACTGTCACAAGAGAGTTTGATATCACCAATTTAAAAAAATATATATTTTGATCGAGGATCTTCACGGAACACCTTTTCAGTATCTTCGACGTTGCCGAGGTCGTTGCTGCTACTAATCTAGCATACCCCATATCATATTTTTCATTGGGTGTTATGACGTTATATGCGCTCAATGCATAATAATTTTATGATTTGCTTATTTCGCGCTTAAACGGAGATTTCAGGCTTTAACCTTAGGGTGAGGGGATTGATTCTGTTACCTTCTTTATAGGAAGCCCCTATTGTATGTTTTCTCTATAAGTTACTTTTGTTTCTATTGTAGTAAGTGTATATAACTTAGTAAAGGCCAATTTGTAAAATTATGTATATAAGCTAGTCATTGGCGCAACTCTCGAGAGATCTTCCTCTTCCATGGTGTGGTTGCGGAGTGGCCCGCTTCTTTCGTTGGGTAGCATTTATGGGTTAGTGAAATTAATAAATTATAACAGCTTTTGTACTGGATAATCTTTATTATACTTCGGTCACTAGAGAGATAATGGCAGTGCACTAAAAAAATAATCAAACTACATCCAATTGCTAAGTTCTTTATTCTACAGACTTTTCTGAGGTTCCGTTTCCGCCTGTGCACAGCTTGGTATGGTATATTTGTGCAATGACTCTGCTCTTCCTTTAAGATCTTAGCTCTGTTAACTATTTTTGTTCAAAGTTAATTACTTTACTTTTTGTGTTTTCTCAGTATATATTTTAAATATAAGTTCATCGTTGGGCGCTTATCATCTTCAGAGAACCTTTCGATCTCCAGAATCGTAACACCTGCCCTTGACTTGTTGCTGAATACAAAAGCGTTATAAGTATGGCGTACCACACCGTTAAAACCACACGTGAAGTTCGGTACCGCCCTAACCGCTTGCCTGAGGCGCTGAAGCTCATCTCTTTCTAACAATTTGTTAGGATATACAGAAACCGAGGGCAAATAAATTCAGCTTTATTACGAGAACGGCAACTTGTGACGGATGACGTAGACAAAGTAACACCCTTAGCTGAGCACTTCGCCTTTCAATGTGTGTTGCCTTCTTTTATAGTTGCAGATGAAGTGATTTGTGAGAGGAACTTCCTCGCTGATGCTGAAAAGCAGCTTGAGTTAAGCACCTTAGCCAAAGTTATAGATATAGTAAGAGTTAATCTAAGGCGGGTGTCACCCAACTCTGAAGGTAACCAAACATAAAGTTTGAAGCAAAGGTCGATGGAGGCAGTAGATCGTCTATTCTGCTTTGTCAAGTTGACGGTGGCCCTTTGCTTCTCCCCATCTCAGCGGAAGACGGATATTTAATGATGCTTCCGAAGCATCCACGCTAAGTAAAAACAGTCCTATCAGCCTCCTGCCAGTCATTTAAAGTAGCTGAAACTGCCATACTGCGCCGCTTGAAAGTGTTTGTAGACGCAAATCTTGACCTTCCAGAGTTCCAGTTCGGATTTCAATACAAAACTCCATAATGCAGCAGTTCCACCTGACAAAATGGAAATACTTGCCTTCAAATTTCACAAGGCAACAAGACACCCGATTTTTTTGAGGTGGATCAAGCAATAGACCGAATTTAACACAAGGGCCTACTTTTCTGCACGCTTTAGCCCCCTCCCTACTGTTTCTTTTTACGTCTCAAATCTTTCCTTAAAAACTGCATTTTTGCTACATCTGTGGTTGCTGCGCTTCACACTGAAACAAATAACAGCGTGGGTCTCAAAAATTCCCTTTTATAAATCTTTTTCTTTGAGCTTTACAGGCGCGTCATGCTAGAGCGTGACAGTAACCCCCACACGCGTAACGCCTTATATGCGAGGGGCACGGCAATTTTCTCTTCGCCAAAGTTGCCAGCCTTTTTGCGCCAGCATCTATAGTGTAACAAGCTAGTGTTGCTTTAAAAAGTTACTCCTAACCCGGAAAAAAGCAAGACCCTTTTTATCACGAAGAAGTGCGCTGTACTACCACCACCTCGACACTCTAAGGCAAAGTGATCCCTTAGCGCCCCAGACAAAATACTTGGGAATCATTATTAACAATAAGCTTTCGCGGCGAAGGTTAAGGCAGCGATTTAATCCCCTTATTGTTTACTTTGTACCAGGAGCAAACTCACTTTGCACAGCGACGCTCATATGTGCTAGTATACGGTCCATTATGACTTACGCTCTACTAACTGTGCCTATGACTCACCAGCAATAGCACTTTAAGTGAGACAAAAGCTTCGCCTTATAAGGGGCGCGTAGCGGTTTGTTCGAAACGATGCCTTACGCCAAAACCATCTACTGAGACTACAAATTGGTGCTATTTCTGCTAAAAACGGTTTACTCAGATTACCATCCAATCACTGACAAAAGAGCTTTGTGGCGAACAAATGAATGGCGCACACTGTCGCCGACCTCTCGATAAGCTTCAGATTTCACGATAAAGGTTATGACCAAAATTAAAAGAATAAATATATATATACTCTCCCTAGCTTTTAATGATAAATGGTATTTTTTTATCTTAATTTCATTCTGCCCTTCCCTCTACTTTTTTAAGTTGCATCCCCCCATTCTCTTTGTCATTCCTTCTTTCTCCGAAAATTATTTTTAAACTTCTCTAAGCTTTAATGGGAAAAGTTATCCGTAAAAAAAGTCGAGAGAAATAAAGATTATTTTAGCACAAGCTAAAATCTAGTTTGAACGCCATCCGTTAAGAGCCCGTTAGAACGGTATTTTTTGACCTGACAGAAAACCAGTACCACTTTTAAAAAATAATGCAATACCCAAGATTAATTAAGTGTTAGGTAAAGTATATGATCGGATAAGTAAAGAGAGCATAATAGGCTTTAAAGTGGACTCATTAAAATTCTAAGCATTTAGTAGTTTTAAAAAAAATTGTCCTGTTCCTACAAGGGCCGTAAAGCGTCTGTATTATAAATTGACTAAAAACGTAACATATATGTGAAAAGTGAATTTATATAGCTTAAATCGTGACAAGGTGTATGTGCTGTCACAGAGAAGTTAACGCAATTAGATAGAGTAAAACCCATAATAAATTATTACGATAAACTACTTAAATATAGTTTCATTTGTAAAAAAGTGGGTGTGCTGTTATTAATAAGTCGTTAATGTAATTGCTTATTAAAAGAAGAACAAAAAAAAATTAACAAAAAAGAAAAAAAAAACTATCAGTCAAGCTTTTACGAAACTCTTGCATTTGGGGCTTAAGCGTGGGGCATATCGGCTAATAAATATTGATAATTTTGTGAACTTTTCAGTTTATTTATATTTTTTTAAAACCTTTAATTTTAAAAATATTCTTCTACTATTAATATTCAATTTTTGTTAATTACTATATTTTTTCATTTACTTATTTAGATTTATTATTTTTAAAATTTAACTCTTTTTCATTTAATCATTTTTCAATTTTATTTTTTTAAGTACGTTTTTAAATTTTCTCTTTTGTTAAAAAAGTTAAGCGCTTAATATAGTACGTATAAACTACTATTATCACAAAACATACCGCAAAATTTTAGCTTGTGCAGAAAAATAATTGCCAGATGGTTTTTAACAAGACAAGCTAATATCCAAAAAAAACAATACAGTAAGATAAAAAGCTGCAAAAACACGTATAAAAGTTGTTCCGTAGTGCTAAAAATTTAATAAATTCACGGGCACTCTTATTAGTGAAAATAGTGGAAACCTATAAGAGGAATGCTAGGATATGATAAAAAGTCTTCTAAAAATACTACAAAATAAGATTTATTTTTACTTGATAAATAAAAAACTATAGCATCACAGTATCGTTTTCAGAAGATAATAAGAGAATCCAATGCGAATGCAACATTAATTAGCTTAAAAAAAATCTCAACAAAAAAATTTATTAAGCGCTATTGGTTTAACTATTTAATACATCATGGCAAGTCGAGATAGTAATGTTAAAAAATTTAGTGTCACTAATTGTGATGTAGCTCCCTGCTAATGTTTCATCATAACTTTTATAATAAATTTCACACAGTTATATAGATATAATTACCATCACGCTTTTTTTAAACAACCCGTTAAAAACTTCAGTTGAAATAAAATTCAAAAAAATGCATAACTTTCATTTAACGGAGTCATAGACAAGTAAATGGATATTAATATCTTTTTCGTTAATTTAAAGTCATAATATAAGTCAATAAAAGAAATACTCTTTAATTAGAGTAAAAATTTAGTATAAAATTTCAAGTAATAGTAGTAAAAAAATAAATATTATAAAATAATATTTATTTCTTTAAATTTAAATAATAATAGTTGATAAAAAAAAATATTGGTTATTAAAGCTTAATTAATGACAAAATGTGAATGTAGATAACTATAACATTCACTGTTTGTCACGTGCGCCATCACACGTGGTTATTCGTTCAGACTGTGCAGCCCATAAGAAATGGTAATTAGTAAATGTAATTAAAAACAATAATAAATATTCTAAAAAAGTTTTCTATATTCTAAACACTCCATTTACAATTTAATGCAAAAAATAATAATGAACGGTTATAACGATTTTACTTTAGATACAGCAAGCAAATTTATGGATTTGGTTTCAAAGTGACTGCCTACAATATGGTGATCAACGCAAAGATAGAACGCAGCTTTTCGATTTTTAAACTCAAAACCGTTAAATGGAGTATAAAAATGCGACACGATGAAGAAATGAACATGAAATCGGATACACCGAGAATCGTTCACAAAAGAAAAACCCTGATGAAATTATTACTTTGACCTGCAATAACTCCGCGATCCACCCCATCTTTGCCAGCAGAGGGCAACACCTGCCACTAATAAAATCCGAGCTTAGAAACCCTGTGAGGCGGTCTTTTAAGTAAAAATTATATTTTTTTTGCATCACAGGTCAACATGACTGCTTTCATGACTTTTATAAAAAGTAAATAAATTGAAGTTTAAAGTCTACTCAAAGGACCCCTTTAATTACAAAAAAAAAATGTTGAACGGAAAATTCATTAAAAATTACGAGCGCTCAAATTTTTATTTACATCTACAATCCACAAAAAATTATTTATTTTATTATTTTTCAAAATTCAAGCCTCGAGAGAATATAAATTTCGATTATAAATATCAAGTAAAGGTATATTAAAAATACTTACAATCTATTTATCATTTTCTCATATAATAAACTTCATAACAAAATGTATATATAAAAAATTTTAAACTATTTAAATACTGAATTTAAGAAAATACCAAGTAAATAGATGATTATTAAAATGCGTAAATAATATACTTTTTATTATATAAGTTTACATAATACATAAAGATAATTATACAAAACTAATTATAACTAACTTAGAGAGTAAACAATATGAGACTAATAATCATTATTATAAATCCTCCCAAAAAAGAATACGAGACGACCTGTTTTTATATATTATTTCAAAAATTATATTAAAATATTGAATAATAAAAAAATTAAAAAAAACTTTAATAAATTTATAGTTATACAATAATTAGTTAATGTATAAGTGAAAAATTATATTATAAAAAATTTAAAAATTTAAAATATAAATAATATAAAAATATTAATTTTAATTATAATAAAATATAATAAATAAAAAAATATAACTTAAAATAATTTTATTAAAAAAATTTAATAGTTAAGAAAAAATAAAAATTATTATAATTTAACAAAAAAATACTAGGAACAATTTAATAGCATAATAAATAATTAAGTATATAATATTTGATAAATTTAAAATTTAAAAAAAAATTAAACCAAAATATTTATATACAAAAAAAAATTAATAATCTCATAAATAATATACTAAAGAAAATTAACATTTATATAATGAAAAATATCTTAAATAAAATAAAATAAAATAAAAAGAAAATATTAATAAAATATCCGAATTAATAGAAAGAAAAAATTAATGAAAAAATATAAAAAAAATAAAAAAAAATTTGGGAAAAAGTTTTAAAAGCAACAAATAAAAAATTTAAGTAGTAGTAAATTTTTTTATAAATAATAAAAATACTGAAAATAAAATTTTTAATAAAAAAAATTAATTATTATTATTAAAAAAAAGTATTTTAAAAAGTTTATCAAGAATTATATTACTAAAAAGTTTGATAAACATCAAAAACTTTTAATAAGAAATGTAATTTTCCTGTAGAATAATAAAAAATAAAATAAAAAATAAAATAATAAGATTTTGAAAAAAAATAATGAAATTTTCCTTTTTATTATATATTAATAAGAAACAAGTTAAAATAAATATTTTATAACAATAAAAAAAATAAATTAGCAATATTATAAAAAATATATATAGACAAAGTAAAATAAAATTTTCTTTATAATATTATATTATAATACTATATATTAAAATTAAATTGCCCATAAAGTAAAACGTTGGAATAATATCTAAATATTAAAAAGAGTTCATATAGTATAAAATAATAAATAAATCCAAATATAAGTACCAAGAAATAAAAAAAAGGAAAAAAAAAAATCTAAAATTAATATAATGTAAATAAAAAATATATATTATTAACGAATCGGAGCACCTTATTATGAGGATCATACTCGAATGCAGTTGGAAGCATTTCTTTAATAACAATAGAAGTCATCAATCCTTTTTTATTATTATAAAAAAATTAAATTCATTAATAAATAACTTTATTTTAAAAATTAAAAAAATTAAAAAACTTATTAAAAATCTTTACTAAAATTTTTAAAAGAAAACTAAAAAAAAAATTTGTAAAAAAATTAAAAATAATATATATAAAATAAATTAATTATAGACATTGAAGTGAAAATTAAAACTTGTGTTAATAATTGTGTTAAATACATGAAATATAAATAAAATATTATATTTAATTTATAAAAAATATTAAATAATTAAAAACTTTCATAAAAAATTTTTATTACAAAAATGTAAATAAAAACTTTTAAATAATTTTATATTTATAATATAAATCAACACACTTTTAATAAAATTATGTTAAATAATGAACACAAAAAATATATATAAATACTTTTATAAACAATTTTAATAAAATCGTTTTAAAAAAAAAATCTTTTTCAGTTTATGATTTTATTTTAAATATAAAATTAATAAAATATAAATAATAAAAAATACTGTATATTAAAAAATTTCTTCAAAAACACTGAGTAACTATATTAAATAATAATAATAGAAAATACTATAAATTAACAATTTCTTTAAAAAACCAAAAAAGTTTCTTAATAAATAAATTTCTAAATACCGATTAAGAATAAATTTTTTTAATATATAAAATATTATTAAAAAGCTCAAAGTAATAATATACTTTTAAAAGAAGATAACCTATTTTTTATTAGAATAATAAGATAGTTTGCTAAACAAAAGTAAAATCAGTATATAAAAATAATATGAAAAATTTATATAAAATTTGTATAAATAAGAATAAATTCAAAAAGTAATATTGTAAAAATTATATACAGGAATAATATATAATATAGAAAAAAAATACTACTAAAGTTTTTTTAAGCCTAAAAAATATTTGAACAATTTATGAATGTAATAAAAATATAAAAATTACATAAATTAACATATTTAAAAAATATAATAATTTTAAAAAGAAATTTTATAGTAAATATATAAATAAACTTTTTCAAAGAAATAAGAATTAGTTAAAAGTATAAAGAATATAAATTAATATATATAAGTAAAAATTTATATTAACATATTGAAAAAAATAATTATTAATATATAAATGAATAATATATATGTAATATATATTATATAGATAAACATATTTGAAAGAATAAGAATAATATAGATATATATATATAATAATATAATTAAAATTTAATAATATAATAATTATATATATAAACATCTTAAGCATTAAAGTTATATGAAAAGTAAAATAAAAAAATAAAAAAATATTAAAAATAAAATTATATAGAAATATAATAATTATATATAAAAAGTAAAAAAGAAAAATATAATAATAATTATATGAATCAACATATTAAAATATAAATAATAATACAAATAAAATTACTTATAAAAATAAATTATATAAGGATATTTATATAGAAATAGAAAAAAATTTATGAAATAGTAATAATATCAAAAATATATATTATATGGATAATAATTTTATTTAAAAATTAATAGATATAAAAATAAAATATTAAAAATAGTCAATTCTTTCTAATATCGAAACTTAAATTTCTATACATAATATATAATCATTCCTATATTTAAAAACTTATAAATTAAAAAAATTATTTCTTTTAAAATATCGATAATATTCAACAAAAATATTAATAAAAGTACTTTAAAAAAATTATAGTATATATATGACAAAGGAAAAGAAATATATATAAAAGTAACATTAATAAAAATATATTATATAAAAAAAATAATAATAGTAAAATAACCAAAAAGTAGCTAATTTTTATAAATAAATCAAAAAATTATAAAACTTTTAAATGTTCTTACCCACTACTAAACCAAATAAAGCTGCATAAAGTCCATCCCCCGTATAGGTATTGGTTAACGCAAAGCCAATCAACGCTCCAAAAATTTCACTAACTCCCGACCAAAAGCCATATAGAAAACCTTTTTTAAAAATAAATAATAAGTGTACTATTATTTATAAAATAGTTTTGAAGCGTTATTAATTATCCGCCTTCCCTAAAAATAATTAATAATGTACATTATTAAAAAAAATTACTATAAATAATTTAAGCTCGAAATTTATAATAAATATTTGTGTTAAATATAATAGCAATAATAATTGCTAAAATAAAAAACCTTTCCAGCGGCTTCCAGTAGCGTAATAAATAGGAATTGCAATGCAAAAACCTTCCGGAATATTATGAGCTATTATAGCAAATACGAGTGAGCCGCCGACTTTCAGATCTTTAAGTGCTGCCACAAAAGTAACGAGCCCTAAAAATAGTGAATATAAATTTGTATAATAAAAATTATAATAATGTATGTTATAGAGTTCAAATAGTAAAAGATGATATAAATACTGATTATAATATTTAGTATTGTATATATTTAATAGAAAAAGATAATATATATAGTAATAATAATACTTTATGATTTATTAACATTAATATAGATATATTAATTATTATAATACTATCGCGTAGTATAAGCTAAAATAAATAATAGTAAGTATAATAATCGCATTATATTTTTCAAATATGAATAATAATTAATATAATAACTATTATTATATATTCCGACAAAAAGGTGATACTAAGAGCAAATAAAAATATTTTTTTTTAAAAAGTTAAGTTATAAAATTATAAGTTCAACTAGTAAAAGTTAAAAATTAATATAAATATTAATTATAATAGTTTATATTAAATAAGTTTATAATAATTTATATATTTTAAATAGTAAATGTTAATATAAATAATAATTGCAACAATTTATATAAAAAAAAGTTTATAATATTTTATATATATTTCAAATAGTAGAAATTAATATATATATAAATTAATAACTTAAATTTAATTATTATTATGTTAAAGAAAAAGTTTGCATATACAAAATATAATTATCATAAAAAATTTTAATAACAAAATTTTAATTCCAAACAAAAAAAAGCAAACCTTCTGGAATGTTATGCAAAGTAATTACTAGCGCAGTTATAAGTCCTAAACGTTTTAGTTTACTTTTTTTTCCTTTAATATTTAAACTGTCTTTTTCTTCAGAAATTTCTTTATCCTTAGAATCAATTTTTTTGCAAGCATTCGTAAAAATGCCGAAATTAAAACAATTCCACTCGCAAGATTCGCTACGAGAACTCCCCTTCCTATCAGAATTATTTACGCTTTGTAAGGGAATCGCTGAAAATCCATCCTCATCTGAAGGAGATTTATTGCTATTTTCACTGGCCGATTTGGTATGATTCTTGCCATCAAAATTAGCAAGGGCAGGATTGGAATGATGAAAGTGAGGTAGCATGTTAGATTCAGCATTTTTGTTATTGGATTTGAATGGAACTCCTTTCTTAAATAAATAAATAAATCCATCAAGTAGAAATAATGATAATATTCCAGTTATAGTAAAGAGTATAGCCAATATATAAGCTGACTTGGTAGGATCGTTATGAATTAGCATGCATCTACAACTAGTAATAATTAAAAATTAAAAAAAAAAAATTAAAAGTAGTAATGTACAAACTTTTCAAAATGATTAACTGCCTTTCCAAATATATCGAGATATGAAACTCCTATCATAACTCCCGAAGAGAAACCTGAATAACAATTTGAAAAATAAAAGGAAAAATTAAAGAAATAGTTTTTATATAAATTTAAAAAAAAATAAAATTATAACCTAAACTAATTGCAAGCCCGAAACTTTTAGGATGGAAAAAACGCTTTATAAAAACGAACGCAGCTCCTACAGTAGTAGAAAGTCCAGCTCCCGCCGCCAACATAAAGGCGGCGAAGACATTTGACATTTAAATTAGATTACAATTCTATAAAGGCAAAATACTTCATAAATTATTTATAATAATTATAAATATGAATTGTATTTGACAATTATATAAAAACATGATAAAATAACTGCATTAAATAGAATATAATTAAGGTTTTTTACATAAAATTAGTGGATAAAAAAGTATTATAAATACAAACAATAAAAAGGATTTCAAATAAATAAAAGACTGTATACTTAAAAGGGAAACAAAATTTACCTTTCAAATTAACTTAATAACAATAAAAAATTTTAGCAAGCTTAATATCTCAGTTTTACAATTAATGTAAAGCTTTTATGTAAATTACTAATGAGATCATCCAACACGTGATAACTTTGGTACTGACTCAGTACAAAAATTAAATATATTTTATTGGAGACATCTAAAAAATAGTGCGATTTTTGCTTTAATGAAAATCAACATTAAACCAGCATCCGCTAATGGTGTACTATAAAAATTATATAACTATAAACTATTCTAACCTTAGCACAAGATAGTAATTATAGGAAAAATTATATTTTTAATAAGAAAAATAATAAAATTGAAGCTGTTAACATTACTTCTAAAACAAATTAAAAGCACAAAGCATTGCGTACGCCCAAAAATGGGAGGAATAAAAATAAGAATCACTGCATACTTAATGTAGAATTAATAATAGTAAAGGAATTTTTTTTTATCAATATACAGTTAATATACTTTCTTTTAATTTAAATCTTAACTTTTTTTTTAAAGAAAAGAGTTTGCGGTTTAAAACATTTTTTTTTTTTACTTGCATACGACGGCCAGTTTTCGTAAGAGACCCTGAGCCGTTAATCTGAATTCTCTCTTTTGTAGGGATTAGGGCCCAAGTGCCCACCAGTGGTCGCCCTTTATATAACTGTAATGACTATCCCGAAAGACTTGAAAAGCGGGATATACCCACCCGGGTCCCACCCTTTGGCCTTATGTGGTGGAAAACCATTAAAACCACCACTGGATACGCAGGTTGGGCGCCTGGGGACCCTGGTCAGCACCTACTGCCAGCCAGGCCTCCCCAGTTATGAGTTCCTCACCCAAAAGAGAGGGTTTACTTACAACAAATCCCTTTATATGTGCATGTAAAGGTGAAAAAAAATTTTGACTTTTCAGTAAAAAACTAATAAATTATAGCTTTATAGCATCGAAATAACTTTGTAAACTTCTTTTTTACAATATTTCTTTACTGCACGGAGTCTATATTTTAACTTTTGACAAACCCAAAATTTTGTTTAGAGTTATAAATTTCTTTAACAATTTTTTTGTGGTACTTTCAGAGCACTAGTGGGGCTCCAATTTAAAAAAGTTTAAAAGGTTTTGCTTATTAGACATACTATATAATTATGTCTGCTTTTAATGTTCTTGAAAATAGAAATCCCTTTTTTTACAATATATATCAATTTTAATTTTAATTTCATTTCCTCCAATAAGTAAAAGAATAAAAGTTATTATAATAAACTACTTTTCTCTGCGGTTAATAAATAATAGATATTATAAAATTATTTTTGGTGTTAAAGTAAATAAAAATAAAAAGATTGGAAATATTAAGGTTAGTCAATAAATTTTTTAAGGATCCTATAAAAGTTTTTACATCATAATTTGGTCTAAATATTAGTTTATGGAAACTTTAACTAAATCGTATAAGACACTTTAAAGTTAATAGTAAAAGCTTTACGCCCTAAATAAACTTTTGATACCCACAAGTTTCCTACAGAAGCTGAACATTCAACTACCTTCAAACCTAACTTTTTTAATTTTATATATTTAAACATATAAAATTACAAAGGAGAGAAGGTATCATTAACTTTACTTATCATTAAGTAAGAAATAGAAGACCTTATTAACCTAATTTAAATTTTTTAATATCTTTAGAAAAAAAATCGTATTAAGCTATAATTCTCTTAAAAAATAAACTTCTAACAAAATAAAGTGGGATAGGATAGTAAATTTTTAATATAAATAAAAAAATTAAGTTAGAGATCATTTTTAAATTACAATTTACCCCTTTTAAAACAAATTTAAATGATAAAAAATACGAAAAAAAACTTACACCTAATCCTTTTTCAAGTTTGGACAACCTACAAGTATTAGTTTAAATTCGATTATATAGTTAAAAATTGAATTTTTCTAAGTTACTTAGTCATCAAAAAATAATTAATTATCAGTCAACTTGATTTTTAAAAAACAAGTGAAAAACCGAGGAGTAAAAAAGATCTTAAAAAATAACTTGACTTGACAATATAAAAGTGCAAAGTTGGCAATTATCTTGCAAATTAATCGCTAATAAAAAATATATAAACTTCTTTTCATCTTCCCTAATAGGTTTTAATACTATTTAAGTTAAAATGTTAGTTTTTAGCACTTTTCGTTTGCTAGATTAATTTAAAAAATTCTAAGCGCACGAATTGTTTAATTATAATTAAATTCTGTTTTACGATATACTAATGATTGGTAACTGCGTTCGACATCTTGTTGTTTAACGGTTCGCTGGACTAATACTTTTACAGAATTATAGAATTTATCAATAAACTTCAGCTGTTAAAATTAAAACTTTAGCATACTATTTTAGTAAAGTATACATAAGTGGGCGTCTTTGTCGCTCCCTTTTAGCACATTGAAAGTTATTAAATTTTATTAGACATTCTTAAAATAGTGATTTGAACTTTAAAGCAGAAAAAGACAACCTAACTCGGGTAAAAATATATTTACTCATCCACTTATATTACTTGGAAGAAGAGGATGAATCTTTAACCATTAATTTGTGGTAGTACATTTTTACTATTTGTTAGTATTTACAGCAAAGAACTGTTTTTAGTTCTTTTATCTTTGGCTTTTTTTTTTATTAAAAATTTAGTAAGGGTTTTATGAATAGCCATAGTGGCCTTAAATATAAAATAAGACACTAATAAAAGGTGTGTGATTACAAGTTCACCTTCAAATTAATTTAGTGAAATAAACTATTTATAAAATTCCGAATTCCTATGTGCACTGCTCTCAACTATTATAAAGACCGCCGAACAGACGAACAACTGTTAATAAAGGGTTAAAAAAAAATTGCTACTGTTTTGTCTTTCTAACAGAGGGATGAGGAGGCCTATAAAATCATTGTCACCCTTAATAAAATATAGTCTCTTTTGACCGTAATTTTATATTTAATCTCAAAGCATTAGTTCTTTTCCTTCTTTCTACAAGATACAAATTTTCCAGCTTAAAAACATAGGCCAGCATTCATAAAGCTAGCCTAAAAGTAATTTTTATTACTAACGAAAACCGATGCAAAAAATATAAAAATTTTCCAAGACTTAGTAAATGTTAATCTCTTACATAAATAGGATTAAATGAAGAGATGAACAAGAAAAACTGGATCTAATGTTTAGCAAACAAAAGTTTTAATAGTTTTTAAATAACGACACTTAATTTAAATGACTTACCTAACTCTTGCTTACATATATTTATTTTTTTTACTTAAACTTTACTAAATTATTTATCTTAAATTAATTTAATTATTTGGTTGTTGTAGTTGTTGTTTCTATAATTCCTTGCCAAATTAGTTTCAGCTGGCACACCAACTTTTTAAACACGACTATACTAAAGGCACTGCTTTCCACTTTTTTCCTTTAGCTAAAAGAAAAATATATTAAACTTTGGAGATAATTTATGCATGTAAACTAAAGTGTCATTAGATACTTAGCAACCCTCACAAATATGCACCAGTAGTGTCTGTTCCAAAATGTTACGCAAACCAGATATGTTAAGGCAACCTTGTTATTATTAATTTTAGTGCATCATAATTTTTTTTAACATATTTTGAATTTTGACCTTTTAAATTTATTTTTTTATACTTTTATTTATTTTTATGGATTATAAAAGGTTAGGGTTTATAAGGAGGTCGAAGGCTCTGCCTATATTATGTTATAATTTCTATTTCGTAAAAAAAAAAAACCCGTTACGTCTTTCGCGAAGTATCGCTTTATTTTATACTTTTAAATATTATTTAACGTAATAATATATTTTATGTTTTTAAATCGATAATACGTACTTGACTAAACAAAGATTTTTGACAAGTTTTGTTAAATTTTTCGTAAGCTTTTAATAATAAATAGAAGACTAAAAATCGCCCCAAAAAGTATAATACCGAGCTAAAAGGATTTGTACAGACTTTGGAAACGCATAATACCAATAGTAGGAATTTTTTTTTGAAAAAAAAAATAATCTAACTGATATTTAAGCGAAACCATATACTAAAAAAATTCAAAAGGGCCAATATAAGTACGACTTTAAATACAAAAAAGTAGAGATTATTTATTAAGCTTCATAAATTTCTGTACTCCAGAAGGAGGTATAAGCTCCCCGTAATTGGCGACATAACTAAAAAAACTTTGCCATAAAGCTACATATAAAAAAATTTAAAAAAATACAGTCATCTTAATTTTGTTAGTTTTTAATTTTTAAAAACTTACCATGCTTAGAAAGCGTATTCAAACTGCATACGACCAGCAAGAAGTACTTACCCCTCGTTAAAGCCACGTTGAGTCTATTTGCATCTTCTAAAAATCCAATATTTTTTTTTCTATTAGAGCGAACCTGAAGTTTGTAATATTATATTATATTAAAAAAACTTATTTTTTAAAAAAAATTCAAAATGAGCAACTTTGAATTAAATCAAAGAAACTGAAGTAAAAGATTTAGATATAAACTCCGTTTAGTATATTACCGTTGTTAATATAATAACATCACATTCTTGACCCTGAAAACCGTCAACTGTATTAACGCGCACTAAAACGTCACCACCAACTTCTTCCGTCTTGTAATTGACCAAGTCGTTCAGTTTGTCTACTTGTAACTGGTACGGAGAAATAATCCCGATCGTTTTTATAACACTATTCTTATTGCTTGCTTTAGCTTAAATAAAAAGGTTTTAAATATGAAACAGTTGTAGAACTTATAAAACTAATAAAAGTTCATAAAAACCATGGCATAGTGTTTTTACTATTTTTCTGACCAAATTAATTTCTCCTTTATTATAAAAACTTCGTTCTTTGCCGGCCGTTTCAGGGCTTGTATATCCCATATTAAAAACCATGATGTTACTATAATTAGGTAAAGACGCACTCGAGTAAAGTTCAGAAATAACGTTTGGGCCATCTATTAAATTAAAAAAAAACCAAAAGGAAACACTAAAATAAATTAAACAAACAGGGCAACCTACTTAACTACTACTTCTATTATAAAAATAATAATATTCCCTAATAAATACCTGTGATCTTGCCTTCATAAAATTTCTTGCAAGGCCAGCGGCTTAGTAAGGGATGCATGCGGTACTGTACGTCGAGAAGAGAATGGGGATGGCCAAGATTGATAAGTCTCTGAAATAAACTACTGTAGCCGAGATCTTTAAGTTGTGTTGAAAAAATATGAGGCGGTAATTGCTTTTCGTCTCCTAAGTAATAGTAAGTAACAGGAATTTTTTTTTACAAAAATGTAGGTAAGAGTGTACTTAATGGGAACAAAATGAAAATGTGGTTTACCGACTAAAACCAGACATTTTAGGCGGTGCTGAGATAATATTATAGATAATAGAGGCTCAGGAAGTTGAGTTGCCTCGTCAACGACAGCGATATCAAAAAAACGGCCAAACTCATAAATATCTCTCCCTAAAAGTCAGTAACTAGTTATGGTATTTAATCTTAAATAAGGTTTAAATACCAAATACCTGCTACGGCAACAGTCGAGAAAACAATTTTAGCAGAATTAAATAAGTATGACTTTAACTGTCCTCTAATTTCTAAACTTTTTATTTCCTGTATAACTGAAAGTAAGCTTTTCGCCACGGACGGGGTAAGAGTGTGTTGCGTAAGGATATCTCTCTTCTTCCGTAAGTGTACCAAAACTTCATTAAAGCTTGCTTGTGACTTTTCTTTTCCTTTATTCTTTGGACGAAAATTGGGCAGTTGATAGCAAATCGATTCCAGTTCTAAAGAATAAGCAAATAGTGTATAGTACCTGTAAGAAATAAATATTAGAAAACCTTTTATTAATTTTGAATATGGCTCTAAAACGCACTCAGCCCAGAAGTAATTAAGATCGTCTGAAGGACTTTCGGTAAAAATTTTCTCAAGTTCAACTTTAAACTCAGGTTCCAAAATTTTAGCATTTTCTTCTAAAAAAACAAATTAGCACGCTAATAAAAAAATAAAAGAATGCACCTTCAATAACTGATTTCTTTTTAAAGAAATTATAATAAGAATTTATCACTTTTTCATCTAAAAGATGCTCAAGCGGTTTACTCAACTGGGACAAATGATTCAAATTAAATTCAACAACTTCTAACCGACTTTCCAGTAAAAAAGAATGCACTCCTAAGGGAGTGAAATATAATAGCAAACCAAACAGATAATAATAACAAAAGATCTCTATAGATACCGTGCTCTTTTATATATTTTTTTTCAAAACCGACAAGAAGTAAGTCTGTCGGCTTACATGAAACTTTAGGGTGCTGGTCGATAGCAAAAATTAGCTTCCTTAAAAGTTCGCTAACGGCACAATTAGTGGGAGCCGTCACCATAATACGCTTATTTCCAGTAACCAGCAGACATTTTAACAAAGCTGCAATTGTGGAGGTCTAAAGCAGAGCGGTAATTAAAAAAATAAAAGACCTCGAGTGAAGTCCTAAAGGCTTATTAAAAGCGAAAAATATTCCACCTTCCCAGTTCCTGGAGGGCCTTTAATAAGTTGAAGGCCCGAATAATCCGGTGAAGGGGCAACCACTGACTGAAGAACATTTACCACAGCTTGCCTGAAAACTGATATTCAACATACTAGGAAACAACGTTTTCATAATAAAATATAATCTAGCCTCTGCGAGTTGTTTAAGGTTTCTAAATAAGGATAGTGTATGGCTTTGTGTGTCTCAACTGGAACTGCAGACGGCGATGGGGAACGCTGTTGGCCCGTTAAAAGTTCATTTATAAAAGATGGAAGCTTCTTTTTCCCCATCGCATGGAATACACGTACAGGCATTGTAATGGAAGCGTTTAATACAACTAGTTCTAAAGAACTTCTACCCAAAAGATTTAAATTCCAATTATCCTTACTAACAGCCACTACAATGGTTTTTTGTAAAACATCTAAGCTTGTAATATATCCAAAAACGTGATTTCTTTGTACTTGAAATAATTTCAAGTCTCCCGGTGCTAATAATAAAAATCACAATTACTGGTATATAAGGTATATATTACAATGACTTATAACTAAAGAAATTGGTTTCTCCTACGAGCACTAGTTGACCGCGTGAAGGTTCCAGTGAAGATTTTAATAAAAGATTTAAATCTGTCGTGTAATATAAGAAACTATGATAAGAAGTGAAAAAAAATTATAGACAACGACGCACTTACCTTTATCAGTAAAAGAAAAACGAACTTTAGCCTCCAAGTTTTTTTTTGTAAAGACATTATAAGAAGAAATAGCTAAAGAGATAGAAGAACTTTCTATAAGAGAAAGTTCAACTTCTTTTTTGAATTCTTCATAAACATAAGGCATAAAAGTCTCAATCCATACTTTGTAAGTAGCAAAAATTGAAGGTAACCTAAAAGTAACCAAATTTAATTTAAATAAAAAAGTTGTAATTAATAAATTAAATACTTTACAAGATCTTCCTTCCAACTAATGCTATGAAAGTTTATTAAATTCCAAGATAAAACAGTGGAGAGAAAAGTATGTTCAAAATCAAGCTTTTCATAATTTTCCAAATCTTCTTTTATCTCAGCAGCAGGAGACACTTGGGTAATATCTAAAAAAAATAAAAGAAAGTATAAATAGCGTAAAAAAAATAAAGCTAACCAAGACTTGCAGTTTCTTCCTCAGAAGATGTATCATTATTTTTAAGTAAATTAGACAATTTCAAGCTTGATATTTTTAAAACAGAGGGAACAGTATTTTTATATTCCCCACAAAATAGAAACTTTAAAGAAGCTTTATCTGTTTTCAAAAACTTCTTGTTAGTTTTATAATTTTCGTAAACTAATTCCTTAACCAAAGAGTTTATGAGTAAAAGGGTTCCAGGATCATTTAGTTTCATAACGAAAAAAAAAAAATTTAAGGCTTACAAAAAAAAAATTAATACAAGAATAAGGGCGTAAATATAATAAAAACAGGAATTTCTTATAAATTCTTGATAGATAGACCCTCTACGATTTTGTTAGTACAAAAAAGGTTTCATAATAAATTAAACGGCCCAAGCAACACCAGGAAAACTGCTTATTAGCATATATTAACATGTGCAGCTCTTCCTTTTTTTTTTAAATATTTTATTTGTTACTATAGTGTTTCTGCTCTTTCATTCGTTATTTTTAAGTTTATTTAAGCAATGAAATATATGAGGGTTAAGTTACTGTTTTTAATTCCTTTTTAATATATATAGATGCGGTTAGTATATGAATTTTTCTTTGTTTGAATTGTTTTATTAAAAAATTAATTATAAAAAATGTTTAGCACGTTTGCTAAAATATACAAGCAAGAAGGGAAGCAATTACCTTTATGTCCACTGGCGCACACTGCGAACACTTTCTTGTGACTTCTCGTGTAATTTGTAATAGGCTAAAGAAATTGGCTAATATCTCATAAGTAAAACAATTCATTTCGTATTTAACAAAGTAAAAGTGAACAACTATATGTATCGACAACTTTGTTTCACTTCTCTTATATGCTATATGAAACAAATATTATTTATCAAAAAGTTCCATTACGATTTTAAATTATTTAGTACAAATATTTATTCATTTCTTGACCAATATAAATATAGCCTTTGCTATTAATCTACTTCAGTGGAAGGAAAATCTGTTTCTTTATTCTTATATAACAGAATTCCATTTATTATAATATTAGAAGCAGCTCTAGAGCTTTTGTTAGGATTTAATGCATAGCGAGCGTTAAAATATATAGGAATTATAAGGTTTCTTTATTTAAAACTTTAAATTGTCATAAATTATAAAAACTGTGATAGAAATAATATATCAAAAAAAAACTTTTAAAAACGCAAATGCAGGAACAAAGGACAAAAGAAAGAGCTTACAACTTTTCTGTAAAAGACGACTTTACATACACAAGTTTAAGAATAATATTTAGATTATAAAAAATAAAGAATATATATAATGTATTACTTGAAAAAATAAGGGAATATATAACGGCAAGTGGCCAAGAGTTGTACGTTTATAGTATAAAGAAAAGAGCATGTTTTGTATATAAATCACAAAGTATATAATCTCTTTTAACCAGTTGAAATAACTATAAACTTTCCTTTTAATAATAATAATACATTCAACATGATTTTATAACGGTTTTACAAGGGCAACAGCTGGACAACACTCATAACAAATCCTCTACTATTATTAATACATAAAAAACATGTACGCATAGAATAAGCTTGCGTAAAGCTTTTTACCTCCGTAAAACGGGTATCCGACTAGGAAAAAACTTATGCTTGGCAATATCAGCTTTTCCATGATAAAAAAGTGTATACTACTTTTATTTTTAGAAAAAAACATCAGTACGAACCAATCTTGAGTTCTTAGACACCACTGGCGATTTGTAATAAATTATTTTACACCACCTTTTAAGTAAAAGTTATAAAACTAAAAGCTCTTTTTTTATAAAAAATTCAATACAACCCTCTACTAGGCTCCAAAGTATTAAAAAGATCTTTTTTAAAAAAAAAAAGGCACTGTACAGAGAAATAGTATAGGTAACTTATATTTCTCAATTCTATCACGTGGTTGGACTACTATTTTTGGTTTTACATTAAAAAAATTAACGAATGAAATTACTTATATGACCTATTAGAGACCGAATAGGAAAGACACAGGGGTATAAGATGAAAGATCTTAGCATAAAAATATAATTACTTTTAGTTATATGTTTTAAGTTCTTATCAGTTTCTTTGTAAAAAATGGTAAAGTATTTATTTTGTGTTGTAAATAATTATTTTTTTGCGTTGTTACCGAGCGCCCGGTCGAAGAGTCTAGCCTTCAGTCTATTTTTATGTTATTTCCTTTATTAAAATATTATTAATAATACTTTCCTTTACTATACTTTGTATTGTGTGAAGAGCGCTTTGGCTAATCTGAAACTTCATTTTCACTAACATCTTCTATGTAGTCTAAACTTTTAATACATTTTAAAAATACTATTAGTATTTATAAGTACTGAATAAAATAGGAAAAACTACAATATTACTAAAAGTCTTAAACGGTTTTACTTTAGTTACTTTCTTACTAATAAACTGATAAAAATAGTAACTTATTTTAGTATATACTGCGTGTATAGCGTTTATAATAGTTAAGTAATAATAGATATTTATACTTTATGATTAAATATGCATAGAAATAAATAATACAAGAGGTTTACTGAGCGGAGTATAAACGCTTATCGAAATGAAATGAAGAAGTAAGTACTAAACAATAATACAATATTTTATTTTTTTTCAGTAATGAAATATTTTTTTCATCACTCTGTCTTCTGTTTCTTATTAGGACGACTTTTTTCATCATCAACTGAGTGCCTTTCAGCTCCTGCACATATTTAAAATAATTTAAAAAAGTGCAAATTCTTTATAAGGAGAAAGGTTAATTAACCAATCATAATGCATATATTAAAAAAGGACACGATAAAATAGGAAACCACTTAGCTCAACTAGCCAATAATTTTATAAAGCAATGTATCGCCCACCCAATAAAAATGTTTATAAATTTCACTCATGCGGTACTAATATATTTATTGCGCACGTGGTTAGGTGCTTAGCAATAATTTTTATTAATTTATTTTGATATAAAAAGTTTGCTTTCCTAATAACGAATACTGTATTATTGTGTTTATTATTTATATTATAACTTTAATATATTAAATTATTTCATTATTTTTATATATTATAAAAAAATATAATAAAAAGTTCATCATTTATAATAAATATTCATAAAAATTCTGCTACTTTATAATATTTTTTTTATTGTTAATAACTGTAAATTTTATTATTTTATTTTTAGTCATTATTACTTTTGCTATTTATTATATATATATAAATATAATAAATTATTAAAAATATTATTAGAAATAATATTATTTTTAAAAAAAAGTAAAAATCTTATTACTATTAATAATATTAAACAAAACTTTGAAGATAATTATGCTTTAATAACAAAAAACAACAATAACAAATATTTAATTTTTTAAAATAAATTTTTATTACTTAATAATATAATAAATTATTAGCTTAATTATACTTATAAGTAAATACTAAAAAATTTAAGCTTATTGACTATTATATTTTAGTAATAATATTTTTCATTAGAAAAAGTAAAAATTTATGCTAAATTACTATTATTAATTATTCTTTTCTTTAAATTATTATTATTAAAGTTTTAATATTTCCATATAAACTTATATATATATAAATATTATATATTTTTAATATTATTAAAGAAAATAAATATAAGTTATATTATGGTTGATATAATTTTATATAAAAATAAAAATGTAAATAAAATCTTTTGTATAGTTATTATTTTATACTAAAATAAACTTTTCTTATTATCTTTAAATATAAGATAAATATTTTTATTTTATTTATTCATAAAAAAACTATTGTAAAAGTTTTTAACGTTCTAAAATAAACTTATTGTATATCTCTTTATCTCATAAATATTATTATATAATGTATATAGTAATATAAAAGATATTTAATTGTATTAATCTTAAAATAGATAAATAATTACATAAAAATATTATTATAACCATTATTTTATAGTAAAACAAATTTTATTTCCACTATATTATTATTATTATAAAAGACTATCAAAAAATTTAACAAACCGTTAAAAAAATCATCGATAACCTGGCGAATACCAGTAGAGATGCCCACCAGGCCATGTGCTTCTTGGCCGCTTGAAAATTTTTTTGGGTAGAAATAAAATAATATGGAACTATTTTTCAGCGCCGCCTGAAATAAAGAGTAATGAAATTTAATAAAAAGAAGAGTAATAAAAGTAAAATAAAACGTTATGAATAATTAATAAAAAATAAAAAATAAAAAATATATATTTTGAATAAAAATTTAATTATATTTTTTAATAATAATAATTTAAAAGTAAAAAGTAAAGAAATAAAAGTTAAAATAATAAAATTAATTTTTAAGAAATATTTACAAACAATTATTAAATATAATAAACGTCAAAGAAAAAATAATTATTTATGAATGAAATCATTTAAAAACAATATTAAGAGAAAATTATATATTATATATTGTTATAATAATAATATTTAAGGTAAAAAGTAAATAAAATAAGTAAATAAAAGTAAAAATAAAAAAGAATTAAAATTTTATTATAAACAATTTCTATATAATTACAATATTTTGAGAATAATTAGAAAAATGAATATTAAAGTAAAAATGTTATTATTGGTTATATTAACAAGAAAATAGTTGAGATTGTTATATAAAATATTTTGTAATATTTTAATATTAATAAAAAAATAAAAGTAAACGATACAATAGAATATGCTTAATTTAAATAGAACAATAAATTTTTAACTAATAAAAAGTAATAAAAATAAAAATATTTTCTTTTAATTATTAAATATAAGAAAATAATTAAATTTGTTATATAAAATTATATACTTTAAAAAAATCAAAGAAAATGAAAAGTAAAAGAAATAATAAAAAGTTATAAATAAATTTTTAAAAGTAAAATATTATTAATAATTATAATAAGAAATTTATTGATGTCATATTAAATATTATATACTTTAAAAAAAAATAAAAAAAAAATTAAGAGCTAAATATATAATAAAATTTTATAAAAAATTTATAAAAACTTAAAGTAGAAAAAAAAAAAAGAAAAAAAAATATATAAATTATTATAAAATAAAATCATTACTGGTCGGTGTGAAAAAATATATAAATAATTTTTGTTCTCGAATAATTTGGTGTTTTTTATTATTGAATTTTCTTTCTAAAATTTTACTGTACAATCACTATTTTTTGTGGTTATTTATTTTATTTTTTAATATTTTTAAGAGCCGTTTAATACATATTTGCTTTCTAACAAAATCACTAATTCTAGATATATGGACACACTGTTGAACTGTATTAGCGCTCTGCAATATTTTATAATCGTAGCTTAACGAGACACACTCGAAAAAATATTACCCCCGCTCTCTCATTAGCTGCATGGGCCCCGCACGAAACTAGAAACCGGAAAAGTTTAAGGTAGAAGTGCTATTTACTAATATATATATACAAGCGGCACCGCCTTTGTTAGTAGAATTTTAACGGGATTGTTTATAATATTAATAGAAGATTTCTTGTTATTTTGGTTGTTATTCCTGTCTATAATATTTCTATAATAATTACAAATAAATAAAAATTGAAAAATTTTTATATATAATAAAATTATTTCAAATTTAAAAGTAATAATAAATAAATGTCGAAGTAATATTTTATAATCTACTATAAATAATAAAAAATTTCAATTTTTTATTAAAAACTTTATAAAACAAAATGTTTAATAATAAATATTATTATTAATAAAATAAATTTCAAAGTAAAAAGTAGGAGAATCAATAAATGTAAAAATAAAATGTTTATATTATTATAAATTAACTGGAATTGAAAATTTTGTTAATTAACAAAATGATAAATTAAAAAGTAAAATGATAATACTATATACAAATTATATATGAAAAAATTTAATAAATTAAAAAAATTATTAAAAGAAAATATTTTATCAATATAATAAATTTTTAAAAATAATAAAAATAAAAGTAAAAGTAAAATATTAAAAAGATTTATAAGTAATAAAAAAATTTAATATTAAAAAAAAATAACAAATTTATAGTTTAAAACTATTCATAAATTTGTATGTTTAAACTTTTGTTAATATAAAAACTTATTATTTTTTAATCAGTATAAAAATATATTTTAAAAAAATTTACTAATAATAAAAATAATAATAAAAAATTACTAATATAATGAATATTTGGTAAGTAACAAGTAAATATTATAAGTAAAATTAATAACCAAATTTATATATATTATAATTTTATTAAAAGTAAAAAGTACTAAAAATTTAGTGCTCAGAAAAAATATGTATATTATTTTTTTTATCATTATATCAAAAATTTATAGTAAAAATAAATTATAATTTTTTTTTTTCATAAATTTTTATAGTAAATACACAAAAAAAAATGAATTATTACCAAATTAGTAAGAAATAATAATTCTATCTTTTTTTTTTTTTTAAAAATTATATATAAAAAAGAAAAAAAGTTCATAAAATTTACCGCATTAAAAAAATTTAGTAAATATTACAAAAAATTAAAAAAGTTCAGAAAAAATTAGTGAAAAAAAAAAAAAAATTAAAATAGTTTGACGATCATTTCATTATAAATCAAAATTATTCAAACAGTTAAGATAAAATTAATTCTAAAATGTAATCCACAAAGCGATTCTTTAAAAAAATTATGAAACAAAAAGATTCGCTAAAAATAATATATCAAAAAACCCGTTTAAAGATATCTTCTTCTCTAAGCGCTTCTTCTTCTAAATATTCAGCCAATTCTAAATTATAGGGGGAAAATTTTATATAATTTTATATTATTTTAAAATTATATAATTATTATATTTTAGATGATTTTATAAAAAAATAATCTAAAATTTTACTTTAAGATTTAATCTAAACTATTTATAACTTAAATCTAAAATAATTTTTTTTTTAAAAGATTAAAGGTTTTTTGTTTTATAAAAAATATTTAGTTAACTTCTATAAATTCTAAATTAAAAAAAAGCTAAAAATGTTTTTTATTTTTGTAATTAAAAAATTAACTTATAAAATATAATAATAACTAAATATTAAAACTTCTTTTAAAAAAGTTTTTTTCTATTCATTTATAATAATTCTTAATAGTGCATCTGTTAACTATTTTTTGAAATAAATAATTTTTTGTGGTAAAATTAATTTTCTTTTTACTAAAGTAACTTTTACTTAGTTTTTATTATTTATAAATATTTTTAGTAAATCCGCATAACAAACAATTAAATTTTATTAGTGAAAATAATATGAATTAATTACTTAAAAAGTAAATGTCTAAATCTAAAAAATTAAAATAAATTATTATATAGTAATAGAAATATATTTTCAAAAGAAAACTTTGAATAAAAATAAAAGTAGAATAATGATATTAGTAAAAGTTTAAAATTTATAATAATAAACTAGGTTATCTAAAAAATTTAAAATTTAGTTTTAATTATAAATAAAATGAATTAAAAAATAAATTTATTTTATGAATCTTAAAAGAAAAATAGATTAAGATTAATTTATTAGATAAAAGAAATAAAATGATGAAGATAACTTTAATTGATTACATGCTCGGAAAAAAATTAATAATAATCAATTTCGAAAAGTAATAATAACAATTAAAAGTATTTATACTTTCACGTTATTACTAATTTTAACAGATATAATAAATAGTTTTAAAAAAAATAGTATAAAAATGATTTAAATAATAAAACCTAAAAAGTACATAATAAATTTTATAAATAAAGTTTATAAAGTTCTTAATAATAATTAAAGTAATTAATAAATTTTTTTTCTTGAATAATAAAATTTTTTAAATTTTTTTTATAAAAATTTTATTATAATTATTATAGGAAAAGTAAATAAAAATACTTTATTTCAAATATAAAAGCAAAAAAAATTAAAAAAAATGATTTCCTTTATTTAAACTGGATTCTTTGAAATCCTTTACTTTTTCATCTACTTCTTCTATAGTTGGTTTTTCAGAGCAAAAGCCTACATTTTATATATATATTAGCTCGTATAACAAAATAATAATAATATATATATTCTTTCCGGCAAGCTGAACCATAAATTGTTCTTTTTTAGTAGTCTTTGGGGCTTTGCGTCGTCCAGATTCTGAAAATTTTGAACCTTTTTTAATAATTTCTAATACGAATAAGAAATATTAAAAAAAGTCTAATAATATTTTTAAAAAAATTTTAAGTTTTAATATAAAAATTTAAAAAAAAAAGGTTATTTAGAATTTTTTGTTTTTAGCTTTTAATACCAAGTTAGTGAGAAAATAAAGTTAAAGACTTAAAGCAAGCTTTCTGTGATAACTTCTTTTTTATTAAAAATTTTTTTTAGGTTAAAACCTTTTTATTATTATCAAATAAAAGTTATATTCATTTTATATAGTTTGGTTTTTTTTTTTTTTCATTAAAACCATTAAACTTACTAACCTTGAATTTCTTTAATCTTCATCTGACACAATTCTTCAATCTGGAAAAGGCCAGGTTTAATTTTAGCCTAATTTTTTTAATTATTATCCCTTTGGACAAATAATTCTAGCAAGGTTTCGCTGCACTACCTGTCTTTCTTCATATTCTTTTATACGCTCAAGAAGATCTGCTTTTGTTCCTTCTTTACTTAAATGTCTTTCTCCGCACAACTCTTTTATTTGAGAAAGATTTAAATTTTCATATTCTAACATACTCCCTTTTTTTAAACAACTATAATAAAAAATAAATTAAGTTAATTTGTAAAAAACGAAAAAATATTTAATTTCTTATCATAAATAAGGTATTTACTGTTTACAAATCATAAAAGGTCATTTTTGATAAGAACAAAAGAAATCTATTGAAATTGCTAACGAGCAAAATAAATGTATGAATTAAACTTTTTAATTTAAAATTATATGAAAGTTATAATAAGATTACAATAATAGTTAAAATATTACCAACCAGCAAATCAAAACATAACTATGTAAAAATCTATGAAGATAAAACTAGGAAATTATTAATTACTAACTGCAATATTAAAAATGTGTAATTTAAAAATTAAAAAATATTGAATAAGATGATAAATTTGTCAAAAATAATAATTAATAGTAAAAAAAGGTTTTCAAACTTATAAGTTAAATATTTTAAACGTGAAGGGCCTATAAAGGGTTTCAAGTTATTGAAGGAAACCCGTCTGGCTCCGATATTAATAAATACCCTGGGTGTATTTTTTTATTAGTATAATAAACCCTCTAAAACAATAAGTATTAAAATAAAAGTATCAGCTATAATGTTGTTTATTTTGAACTTAAAAATTTCAGTCGTAGAAAAAACTAAATTTTTCTACTATTATTGGAGATCGTGAAAGATCGTGACCAATTAATAGTTCTTTATTTATTATTAATAACCTTAACAGATGCTCGATATTTTCAAAAGTAAAAAGTATGGATTACTTGTTCAAGGTAAAGAAAATATATATTTCTCCTATGCAATGTGTCTTAGCTTTGTGTATAGTAATACACATTTAAGCAGCATATAAGTCGTCGTGTTATAACCTAAACGTTGTAAAAGGTATCGTCACAATAATTTCTCAAGCTAAAATTAAAGCTGAGCGTGCTTTGTTATTTTTTCAGTAATGCTACGGTCGAGGCCTAACAAGAAAAACAAAGTGCAGGGTGATGCCGTTCACAAGCACAGTAGTGATTAAAACACGGGCGTCATTGTTTTGAATCTCCATAATACCCAGGACAATTTTTGTGAAGAATGCAAGTATTTATTTTAAAAGTCACAAAGAAGTTCCAGGTTATTAGAAAAAAGAAGTCAGCACGGCACTCCTCGCCACCTTGATCAGCAACGCTACATTTTTTTTTTTTATTTCAATACCTGACATATTACAGCCAGTCCCTACATAAAAGAGGGCTTAATATACTGTTCTGATCTAAACGGAAACGAATGCCCATCCGAGGGAGCTTGAACTATCATGACTGTCCCTTCGTTTATTGGACGCCAATAAGAAATAGTATAACAAAAATAAATCTATTACAAACCAATTACGTGTTTATAATTTAACTAATTAAAATAAAGCAGACTGGTGATTGGATAAACATTTGTTATTATTTTTATAAGCTTACCGTAATAATAAAGGTACAACAATATTTTTTTTGCACCTTTTTTTTGTTTCCTTTTCTTTAGGCTTATAAGACACTAATTAACTAGAGTGTTTAAGCTGTGTTGGTTATGCTGATGAGTAGATTGTCTTGTAGTCATCGCAAAAAGTGGTCCGCAAGTGCCATTTAAAAAGGAAAACGTTTAAAATAAAACTAGTGAAACTACGGTTAACTAGGGACTTATACATACACACAATTCAATAACAGACCACCAAAATCATATTCATCTGTTTAAATTTATAAAAAGTTGAATTAAACTGAACCATACAATAGTTGGTTGATTGAAAGTTAAAAATAATTTTTTGTTAAAGCTGTTCATGCCGGTTATTATTAAAAATATTTTAGTAAATTCTATTTCTAAGTTTGTAATTATGGTTTTCTTAAATGATTGTTCTCCGAATAACTTTTTTTTTGGACGGTTGGTTAGTATATGTATAGGTTTCCTTATTAAAAGTGTAAATAAAAATATTAAAAACAATAAATTAAAAAAATAGTTACTGTCTTTTTTTCTATGATAAAAGGGAACTTTTTTAGCTGATGAAAAAGTTTTTAACTCTTGTTATGCTTAAGTTAGAATTTATTGAAAAACATTAAGTAAATTACTTTCTTTGTTAACAAACAAATTACTTTTGACTACAATTGTAAATACTTTTGGAATTTTTAATTTTCTTTAGGTTTTTTTAAACTATTAATACAATATAGTTAGGTTTTTTGCGTATATTTTTTCTTGTGCTTTATTAAAAAAATGATTTTAATAATAGTTAGTATCATCTTTTATAAATTTATAAGAAGAAATAAATTTTTTAAGGTTTTTTTCGAAAAGATAATTAGCACAATTGAGAATAATATAAAAAAGCTCTATTTTCATTTCCGATTACTGTTGCTATTATATTAACCATTACGCATAATATTTATTTGTTTAATTTAAAGATTACCGCGCCACATATTTAAGTAAATTTTAGTCTTTGAGAGCCATCAATTCATAAGTGGCACTCCTGTAATTGATAATTTGAGTAGCGATTCAGTCGTTTTAGTTTTTTTAAATTCTCTGATATACCCGCATAAATAAGAGATGTTAAAGAGAATGATAAAGTTATGTGAAAAGGTTTAACCAGAATTTCCTCTTCGGATAGTTGAATAAAATATTTATTAATCTAGTTTAGGACATTAGCTACTTCCGATCTCTCTTTTAAGTCATATATTTTAAAGTGAAAAGAAAGAGAAACAAAACTTTTTTTACGTACAAATATCTTTTAGCAGGTGGATTAAGGGTTAAACGGAAAAACAGAACCTGTCTATTTCCTTGCGGTTTTACTTATAGAATTTATAGATTTCTTTCTTTTTACTAAACCAACTTAAATGAGTTTTAGTGTAGAACCTCTTGAACATTTAGCAAATTATTTCATACGAAACTACAATTATCGTAAGGCTATTCAATGTTTGGAAGCTTGTTTAAAAGCTAACGAGTTGGAAGGTTTTCGCTTATCTCGGTGAGTCTTGCAGAGTTGTTATTATTGTTATATGAAAAAAATTTTATATTTACAACTTTTTTATATTTCATTACGTTGAAGAAGAAGTTTATTCATATTATTAATTTTTTAACACAATTCTGAAAGTAAATTGCATGTCATCCTAATTATTAATAAATTTAGGCAACATGAAGGGATTTTGAGATTTAAATTGGGCAAGATATACTTCCGTTTTACTAAAAATCACGAAAGAGCTAAATATCACTTAGAAAAATCTCTTTTTTTGGTTTAGTATTATTTATTTTAGCTTTGAAAATTTTTTTTTTAGTTAATATTTTTTTTTTACATATCTCAAATAAATTATACTTACTAGTATTTATTAATTTTTTTATATCATTTTTATAATATTTCATAAAAGTTTTTTACTTTTTAAAAAACAATTTATTTCTTATTATTACTTTTTAAAACTAATCTCAAAATAAATTTTTATTTACATTTAAAATTTGAGCTTGTTTTAGTTTTTTCTTTATATTCATATTTATAAATTAAAATTTATTAATAAAAAGGTAGAGAAATTGAGTTCTCCAGCAATTTTAAAAATTAAAATTATAATTGAACTTTGTGAATTATCTGCTTTCAATAAAAATTGGAACCAATCTTTACAGTTAATATCTTACGCCATTTATGACGATTCTTATCGGTTTGTACTTTTTTTAAATTCTAAATTAATTACAATTTAGCTTTTTATAAATCGTAGTAATTTTGAATTTTTTTCTCAATATTATTTTTCATTCATTTAAATTTTTACATTAAAAAAATTTCTTTTATAGAAGAAAGTAAAAATATAATTTTACTATTTCCTTGTTGATGCTTCTCAATCTCATTACTTTTTTTTGATTTCTAAAAATTTTACAATAAAACAAGTACTCAATTTATACTTATTTAATAGTGGAATAAAATTATTTTTTAGGCTTTATTTGAGCATGTAATGTTTTTTATTTATAATTTCTCATTTAATTATTATTTCGATTTCTTTAAATTTTTATTTCCATAAAAGTAAGTCGCTAAATATATACTTTTATACAATAATTTTTTTGCTGTTTTTATGTTATTAATTTTTTAAATTTTATTTTGGCATCTTAAAAATATTATTTTTATTTTCTCATTTTTCTTTATTTTTTGATTTTGTTAAAAAAATTTACAAAAAAAAAACTAAATATATACTTCTTATTTGATAAAAAAAATTACTAAACTTTTTAGCTATTAAATTATCTTTCAGATTTAATTTTAGCATTAGAATTTTTAATTTTAATTTCTCGTTTACATCACTTTATTGATTTTATTCAACTATTAAAAAGCCACTAAATATATACTTATTATATAATATTTTTTTTAAGTAAAACTATTTTTTAAATTTAAGTTTAGCATCTTAAAAGATAATAATTTCAAATTCTCTTTTTCATTATTTAATTTTTACATCTCAATAAGCCACTAAATTATACTTTTTGTTCAATAAATATTTTATTACTACTTCTACTTTGTTATTATTAAATTTCTATTACTATTTTTGTGATTTATTAAATATTTTAATTTAATTTAAAAATAATTTTTGTACTAATTCTTTTTTATCCCTTTTTTCCGATTTTTTAAGTTAATCTTTATATTTTCTCATTTTTAGTAATTTTTTGATTTCATTAAAATTATTACTTCAAATAAAACTTCAAAAATTTTCTTTTTTCTATTGTTAAAATTTTTATTACTTTTTTTTAACTTTTAAATAAAAATTCGAAACTTTTGTTATTAATTTTCTTTTTTTTTTTGTTTTTTTTCAATATTTTCTTAATTTCAAAATTTGAATTAAAAATTATTACTTGTAATTTATATTTTTTCTATTTTTAATTTTTTTTACACCTATTTTTATTTTTAAAATGTTTTGGACAATTTTTACTTATTATTTTTTTTTATGCATAATAACTCAATAAATATATAGTATTTTCCATCAGACTTTAATTTTAGTTATCTTTTTTAGTTAAAAATAAAATATTGTTATAAAAAATTTTTTTTACTATAATCTTATCATATTAATTTCAATTTTTTTTTAATCTTTTTTATTGATAATTTTTTTATTAGTTTTTTATAAATTTTAGACAATTTATATAATAATCAATACGTATTTCTTTATTCCATTAATCATATATATATATTAATTATTATTTATTATTATTTACTGATAAACCATTTTTGCGAGTCACGTGTTTTTCTGCAGAGCGACCAATTACCTTTTTATCCTGAAAAATACTTTATTGCGATTGGCTTTTATAAACTTTTAGTCATACAAGGAATTTTTATATTTTTATTTGTTTTTTCATAAACTGCTCTTTTTTTTTCTTATTATTATTATATAAATCATTTTTTATGTGTTCGAGCGTAGAATTTTGTAGCTTTCTTTTAATGTACTAAATCTTTTAAGCTCACCAAATAAAACTTCTATTTAATGCAATTTTAATATTTTATTATTATTATATACCTCTTTTATTATATTTATTAAAGGATTATTATTTTTTATTTTTTATATAATAAACCTTTTTTTTATTCCACTATTTATTCTTATTATTATTACTAATAGTACTAATGAACCGCAAGCTTTAATACGTTTTTAATTCAGTTTCTATTATTATGTTATTATTATAAGTATTAAAGAAAACTCAACCATTAATTCTTTTTTATATTTTATTTCAGTAAGAATTTATTATAATTTTTGGCACTAATGAAACTTTTTTATTTTATATTTTTAATGGAAGTATTATTTCCTATAATAAAACTTTTTTACTATAGTATTAATTATTTATAGCAATAATTACACTTTTCTAATTTTTTACATTTTTTCAAGTATTTTTTATAAAAACTTATATTTATTTATTTATTTATTTATTATTACCATTTATAGCAATAACAAAAACTACTATAAACTTTTCATTTAATGTAATTATTAAAGAATACTCTCTATCTAAAAACTTTTTTCTATTTCAGTATTTATTTATTAGTATTACCAGCAAATGAGGAAAACTTGACTTTAACATTATTTTATATTTTTTAATGAAGTCTTACTTTTTTATATATAAAATATAATAAAACATTTTATATTTCAGTATCCATTGAATTTTTTTAATCATTATTTAGAGAAAATAACGAAAACTTTAACCTTAATACTTTTTTCTTTTATTAATTTTAAAAAGTTTTATTATTTTATATATAATAATACTTTTTTTATTCCAGAGTTTATTTCTTTGTCGTTATTAATAGTAATACTGAAACTCAAACTTTAGTATTTTTTATATTATATTCTCAAAAAAAAAAGTATTAATTTTTTTATAATTAAATAATAAAACTTTTATATTTTCCAATATTTATTTATGTTCTTATTAATAGCAAGAACGAAACCTTAACAGTTATATTTTTTCTTTTTATAATTATATCAAAGTATAATTCTTTATTAATGAATTATAAAACTTTTTTCTTTCGTACTAATTATTTTTTATTTATGGTAATAAGGAATAGTTAACTTTTATATTTTTTTAATTTTATATATGTTTATAGAAGTATTATTTTTTTTATAAAAAAAAAAACTATTATACTTCAGAATATCGGCAGAAACTGAAGTCCTCCTACTCCACTATGCTGGCCGCTACAGCTGCAATCTCCAGCAGTTTTCAAAGGCAATCCATTTTTTTAAACAAGCGCAAATTATCAGCCAGAAAAGCTCACTTGACTATTATTTGGTTTTTATATTTTGGTTGCTTTTGAAAAATATGCTATGTATAAAGTTTTTATATTAAATCTATAGTAGTGTTGAATTTTTTATATAACATATTCACTATATCATTTCTATAAGAATCATGTGTGGAAAGTTTATTATAATTACTAAACTATTTATATTGTTTTGATCGGTTGACTATTTAATTTTTTATTCGTTTCAAAATTATTGACAATCTATTTTTATTTTAATTGGTTATTTATTTTATTATAATAGGCTTTTATTATTAAAATTTTATTCTAATTTATTAAGTTTAATATAACTTCAGATATATATTTTTGGTAATCTATTTATATTACAAATCATTGGTTAATAATTTGGTAATTTTTATTAAATTTATTTTTATAGTTATCTTTAAAAAAATTTAATTAAATTTTTTATATTTTTATATCAAATATGGTTTTGCATTTTTATTAAATTTTTATAATAATTTTACAATTTATTGATCTTGTAATTATTTTACTATTTATTCTGCATTTGATTGGTTATAAATTTTATTATTAATTATTTATAATGTATTAGCTATTATTAGAAAATGTTACTAAATAATTTTTAAAAAATATCATGTTTTATTGTTTTAAGTTAGACTTTTAATTCTTTGAAACTTTATCATTCGTGATTATAGTATATTTTTTTTTTACTTTCCTCATTTACTAAATATATTTCAGTCAAGTTCCTACTATTGATTGATGATTACTTATTAATATTTCATTATAATATATATATTATATTAGTTAGTTTTCCCTTATTGTTGCAGAAATATTTATTATTATATTTGTTTTATATATTTTATTATATATCATTGCTTTTCTGTTATTTAAAATATTGTATTTACACTCATTTTTGCTTTCTATACATATTTTTAATACTTTATTGCTTTGTTATATGCCGTATATTATTGGTTAATTTTTTCTTCAGACTTTATTTTGCTGAATTCATTATGTACTTTTTTTATAAAAGTTTTATTTTACTTATTATGTATTATGTATATTTGTCTATTATTCTTAAAAGTTTTTTTGCAATACAAATATTTATAATCATTTATTATATTTTTTTTCTTATTTTCTAATCGTATTTATTAAATATTCATTTTATTTTATTTATTTCGTTCGTTACGTATTTTTTCTTTGTTATTATATAATCCGTTATTTATTTATTTATTATTCATTATTTTAAGGTATATTAGTTTATTTTTACTAAAAATTATTTTTATATTCATTCGTCAGTAACTTTAATTGTTTTAATTATTTTTTTATTTTAACTATTTTTATTAATTGAATTTACTATTTTACTTTTAAATTATATTTATTGATAATAAATTTAATTTATATTATTTATTTGTTTTACTATTTCTAAAAAGTTTTATAATTTGCTTTTTTATAGGATTATATATCGCTGGTATAATTTACTTACAATATTTTGATTATTTAGTTAATATCTTGCTTTTTAATTATTATTTTATTTTTCCTTTTCTATATTTCTTTTGTTATGCATTTTTCTTATATACTTTTTGAAAATTTTAAAAAATTATATATGCCATATAAATACTTTTTAAAAAATTTTTATATTTTTATATGCAATTTTCTATGAAAAATATATTATTATATTTTATTATTTTATATTATTACAAGTTTGTATATTTATAAATATAAAAGTTTTTTACATTTATTTTATTTATATTTTTCATCCTTCTTTAATTATTATTAAATATTGTAAAAAATTATTTTAGTTTTCGTTGGTTATCTATATTCATTAATTTATATATGCGTTTCTTTTAATTTATTATTACGTTTTACTTCTTTATTATCTTTTTTATTTATTAATATTTCTTTTGTATATAAATTTATTCTTTTTTTTTTTTACTTTTCCTAATTTTATTTTCATTTATTATTTTTTCTTACTATACGTTTACTCTTTTGTATTTTTTATTCTTTTTTATTTTTATTATTATTATTTATATTCATATTTTATTTATATTGTGCTTATTATTATTACTACTTTAATCATTTATTAGTTTATTTTATTTTTTACAACTGTTTGATTTTTATAATTATTATTATATAACTTTTTATATTTATAACGTGTTTTTTTTAATATTATTTATATAATGATTTATAATTTATTATTATTATTTTTATTGTACATTTTCTTTTTATTTTATTAATGATATATTTTTAAGATATTATATTTTTCTCATTATTACAAAATTTTTTTATATATTAAAAATTTATATTTTTCTTTTATTTATATTGTGATTATTATTATTACTTTCTGTACTTATTAATATTTTGTATTTTTTTTTCACTATTATTTTGTAATAATTATTAATATTTACTTTTTATAATAATAATTATTTTTTAACTCATTTATTTCAATTATTATTATTATATTACTTTTTCTTTTAATAATATTATTCCTTTATTAATTATTTTTTGAACTGTATAACCCTTTTATACCTTTTTTAATTTATATTATAAATTTAGCGTAATAATTATTTTTTTGCTTATCTTATAATTATTGTTTATTGTTATTTTGTCCTCTTTTTTTTTTATATGAATATTATTAGATTAATATTTTTAACTTGTATATATTATTATTACTTTTTAAATATAATTCTTTACTTGTATAAATTATCATTATTAGTTTATATATTATTAATATTGTTTTTATATATTAATATTATTATAAAATTAATTTTTTATAAATGCTGATATTTTTATAAATTTATATTTTATTATTATTTATTTACATAAATATAATCATAATTTTTTATTTAGTGCTAATATTTTTATTATTCTAAATTTGATAATTATTTTTTATCTTATCATTATTGTTGCTTTTGTTTTTATTGTTATTTTTCTTTAGTGTATTTCTTATTTTAAATTTTTACTTGTACAATAATTTTTTAATTAAGTAGTATAAATTTTTTGCTCAATAATTTATTTATTATTCTTTATGCATATTAATAATTTACATAATAATATCTATTTATGCTACTTTTATTTTTTCTCTCAATGTTTATTATTTTTTTAATAATATATTTTGCTATATTAATTATTTTTAGATATAATTTTACTCTTCTTTTTTCAATTTTTATAATAAAAAAAATTTTCTAAGTCTTATATAATTTATTATTTTACTACAATTTTTATTATATTCATAAGATATTATACTGTAAATTTTTAAAAGTATATTTTTATAAATTATTTATTTTATATTTATAACAATTACTTATTTATTATTATAATATTACTATTACTTATTTCTACTTATTTCTTTATATTTTATATTTCAATCAGCTTCTCTCTTTATTAAGCGAAGCGCATGTTTTTCTGGCGAAGTGGGAGTCTTCAAAAAGTTATAGCATTCTTGAAAAGTGCAATATCTTGTTTAAAGAATATAATAATAATAGTAATAATAATAATATACTGCCGATTTGGTATTATTTATTGGAAGTTTATTGCTCCGTTCTAATGATAATAACGATAATTAGGTATAAATATTTTATTATATTTTTACTTATTCTTCTTTACTATTATTATTTTTATTATATTTGCAATGCTTATAACTCACCTAATTGCATTTTCAAAAAATACTGATATTCATTATAATAAATCTTTTATTATTATAGAAATAGAATTTTAAAAAAAGGTTTATCCTACTTATATTTTATCGAAATACACTTAAATTTCTTGTATATTTTTTTTATATTTTTTTATTTATTATATTAAAAAAGTTTTATAATAAATACTATTATAATATATACTTATTATAGAAAAATACTTGAACTTTGCGAATTTTTTCTGTAGTTTTCTTAATTTTAATATTTATTATAATGAAAAAAAATTATAAATAATTATTCTAAAATATATATATTTTTTTTACTCTAGAAAAACATTTGAACTTTACGAAAAAGAAATTTTAAGTTTTCTAAAAATTCTAATAAAAAAAGTTTCATTTTATTTATTTCTATTATAAATTTTTTATTATAAATATCAATTGAATTTTGCAAAAACTTTTCTAAAACTTTTAAAAATTATATTTATTTTTTAAAAAAAAGTTTTATAAATATTTATATAGTATTTTTTTATTATAGAAAAACGCTTATCGAACTTCTTTTTCTAAAGTTTTTAAATTTTTTATATTATAAACTTTCCAAAAACTTTTCTTTCGAAACTTTTTTATAATCCTTATATTTGTTATAATAAAAAAAAGTTTTACTATAAATATTTTTTAATTACGAAAAACACTTAAACTTTCCGAAAATTTTTTAGTAGTTCCTTATAATATTTTTTACAAAACTTTTTAATTAAACAGGAAAGAATGCGGGCAGACGCCTAAATATTCCTTACGAGTTGCTCTAGAAGAGCTTCATTGTAGGTAGTTTTTTATAACTATAAATATTTTTAATTGAAAAAATCATTTTAAAATTATATTTATTAACCTTTTTATTAATAATAATAAACTAATTGTATAGTTTTTTAATAAAAAAGTAATAACATTGCTATTAATAATAGTTATAATAGTAATAAATAATATATAATAATAACAAAAGTTAAATCATTTTTAATTATAAGAAAAAAATATATATATATTAAAATATTATAATTGTTATTAAGTAAATCAAATTATTTACTATTAGTTCAAATACTAAATCAATAGGAACTTCTTTATCTATTTTTTGCTAGTAGTAATAATTAGTAATAATAATACTGAAAGTATTCGAATAACAAAACCGCTAATAGAAATTATATAATTTATTAATAATAATAAAACTATTGCAGTATGATATAAAGAAATTCAATAATAATGAATAAGAATATATTTAAAGTTACAATAAAATAATAAGCATATAATAATTATAATAATAATAAGTAATTATATAATATCATCAATAAAAGTACAGCAGTGTAATAATAGCAACTAGTAATATATTAAACGTTATAATACTGAAAAAGAAACGCATTTTATAAGGAGTTTTTAAATAATAATAAATAATAAAAGCATCTAACTAACCAATAAATGATAAAAGTTATGTAAAATTACGTATTTATATATTATTATTAATAAAAAACTGTACAGTGTAATAATAATAATGAATATTTATATAGTAAAAGAAGTAGTAAAAGTTGTACATTAATAATAATGAAATTCACTTCATAATAAATTGTATTGAATAATAATAATAATACTATAATCAGAGCAGCGAAAGTAGACGAGCGCAAGCAGGAAGTTATCCGGCATTGCCGCCCTCTACTTATTTGGCTTTACCCGAAGCAGTCCTTCGCGCTGCTCTACACGTTGACGGCCATTTCTTGTACGTTTCTTGGGAAAGTGGAGCAAGCAGAAAAGTATGCTTGCTTGGGAATAAACTTATTAAAAGGTTTTATATTATTATTATTATTATTATTATTATTATTATTATTATTATTATTATTATTATTATTATTATTATTATTATTATTACTAGAGCTTAATAAAAAAAACTTCAACGACGATGCGATGTTTTATTTAAATAAGTTTTTGGGTTTTTCTGATTTTACTTTTTTTTTATATAAATACAATAAAAGTAAAAAAATATTTTAAAAACTTTTTTATCGTGAATATATTCTTTTATAGTATAAATTTATTCCAAAATAAAAAATTCTTTTTCTATAAAAAAATATTTTGAAAGACATTAAGAATATAAAATATTATTATAAACTTTATAAAAAGATATTTACCAACATGAAAATTATTTTTTAATAAAAGTCATTTATTATTAAAACATTATAAGAAAATAATAATAATAAATTTTTTTTACTTGAAATATTAAAAATATTATAAAATATATTTTTTATAATAAAAAAAATAAAAAAAATAAAATAAAGATATATTTTTTTTTTCAAGAAATATTTATTCTAATAATTCTTATAATTATAAACCTGAATAAAAGTAATATTGAAATAATGAAGTAAATTATTTATTAATAGAAATATTATTAAAACTTTAAAAAATAAATATTATAGTAATAAATAAATAAATATAATAATGTTTAACATAAAATATATTTTTATATTTTTGGAAACTTTTATAAAATATTAAATTTAAATAATTAATAAATATAAAATAATGAATAATAAAATATTTATAGTAAATATAATATTAAAAAACTTTATAAAGTAAATATTATTATAATAAATAACTTATATACTTGTTACTAACGTCAAATATTTTTATAATAAAATTATTATTAAAAAATTTTTATAAAATAATGAATTTTTTAATAATTAATAAAATAATGAAAAGGCATTTTTATTATTATAAAAGTTTTAGTTTTATCTGTTAACAAAATTATTAATAAATATTTTTTTAAAAGCCAACGTTCATTATTTTTATTAAAGTTTTTATATTTTAATAAAAAATGTCTCTATTTTTTTAAAAAAGTTATATAAATATTTAATTATAAATTTAAAAATGAAGTAATCTGGTGAGAATAAACATTATTTTTATAAACTCTATTAAAAAAAAATAATACAAAACTATTATAATAAAATAATAGTAATAAAATATTTATAATATTTTTTTTAAAAATCATTATATTTTACTTTTTATTAATAAAAAATAATAAAAATAGTAAATATTACGTTGTTATAAATAGTAACGAACTTTTTTTTACTAAAACTGCTTTACTTTTTTTCAGGGCGCTCTCAAAACATATCGCTACTGGAGTCTTTGATCACGTGCTCGCTCACCAAAGCGACTTATACAGAGGCTTTAAAAGTTTTTATATAATAATAATAACTTAAAAGATTATTATTAGGATAATAAGAATAAAAGAAAGTTAAGTTTATTTATAATTATAATAACTTAACCGATTACTGTCATAATAATAATAATAAGTTTAGAGTTACTCATATAACATTATAATAAAAACTTTAAAGTTTTTTATAAAATTATATTAATAGCTTGAAAGACTATTGTTATTAATAATAATAACAAAAAGTTAGGAATATTTATTAATAATATAGTAATATGTTACAAGTTTTTTTAATAGTAAGTTTAATGTTTATAATTAATAATATAGTAATAACTTAAAAGTTATATATAATAATACTAACTTAAAAGATAATTATTATATTATTATAATAATAATAAGTTTAAAGTTTCTTATATAGTAATTATAATAACAAAATTATAAAGGATTGTTATATTAATAATAAATAGTTAAAATTTTTTTATATAATAATAACAAAACCCTAAAAATTTATTGTTACTTCAATAATAATAATAGAAAGTTAAAAGGTTTCATAATCTCTAGATATTAACGATAACAAGAAGTAAAAAGACTTATTATACGTTAATAATAATAGAAAAAAGTTAAAAGTTTCTCATTATTTTGATAATTATAATATTAAAAAATCAAAGTTTACCCTTTTTAAATTATAATAATAATAAGTTGAAATTTTTTCTATTATTAAATAATAAAAGTAATAAGTTAAAAATTTATTATTACTTAAGAATAATATATTAAAAGTTTATAATTACTTAATTATCCTTAACAATAATAATTCATAAAAATAATAACAAAAAGTTTATTATTATTTTTATGAATAACTTCAGCATCTTCTCTCTCTCGTTTCTCTCGTGCCCCCGTCCACCAGCAACGTGCCTTCTAACGAAGCATCTGTTGCTCATATTCTAATTGGTCAGTACGCTTATGCCTGCCTTGCTGTGCCGTATGCTATTGGCCACTTCAAAGTTGCGAAGGTTACCTTTATTCATTATTTTTGTGCAGTATTTTTATTATTTTTTTATATTAAAATTTTGAAATTATTTTGCTTTTTCTTTTAAATATTTAAGAGCTTTTACATTTATTTTATTATATTTTAGTAAACTTTTAAAGTTTTTAAATTGCTTGTTCATAAAAGTTATGAAGTTATCTACTTTTCATGAATACTACAATTATTTTTATATATTATAAAAGTTTAAGTAAATGTATTTATGGAAAAAGTGAGTATTATAAAGTTTTTAGCGATAGTAATAATAATAATAATAGTTATAAGAAAGTTTTTATAAAATATATAATAATAAGTAAAAGTTTCAAAGTTTATAGTAAAAGTTCCAGATAATAATAATAATTATTTCTTACTGGAAATGAGCCGCAAGAAATACACTAAATTTTTTTAATTTTTAATATCAAATATTATTTTCTACGTAAAACTGGAGCAGATTTATGCAAATCCATTATTATTTATCCGAATATATTATTTTTTCAATATAATATATATATTCTTATTTTTATATAAATATTATTATTACTGGAGCATATTTATATAAATATTTATTATTTATACAATATTTTACTGAAAAATAAGGAATACTGTTTCTATTTATGTTTATATTTATATAAATTTCACAATTTTATGCACGGAAAAACATATTATTACTTATTATTATACAATATTATACGAAAAAGAAAAAATTATATGTTCTATATTAATATTTTTAATGTTCAAAATATTATATTCTACGGAAACTGGAGCATATTTTTATGAATTAGTATTATATATAAATAAAGAATAATATTTATTATTACTTACATATATAATTACTCTTTTTTTTTTTAAAAAAAAATTATCTCTAATGAAAATTGGAGCTTATTCATCCAGTTTTATATAATTTATACGATATTGTACTGAAAAATAAAATTAATGGTATTATCTTTTTATATATACATATAAAAGATATATTTCGTTATTGATGTTATTTATTACCTGAAACAATATATAAATGTTTTAGTATAACAATATAATTCGTCAATCTTGATTCTAATTGACTGGTACTGTTTCGAATAAGCAGTTGCTTAGAAGCAAAATCATCCTTTAAGAACAAGCATAACTGTAAAATTGGTTAAAGTAGTTTTCTTGGGCGCCACGTGGCTGCATGTTAATTAAAGTCTATGAATCTTTTTTTTTTAAGTTTTACTTTTTACTATTTTTTTGTAAATTTTTAGTATTAATAATAAAAATTTTATGTTAATTTTTTTCTAAAAGCAAACTTTCTATAGAACTTTACTAAATTTATATTATTTCTTTAGTCATATAATTTCCTACAAAAAAGATTTCTGTTCTACTTTGAAGAAATAATAGTAATTAATACGTTTATTTCGATAATTAGATAATTTTTTAAAGTTTTTAATATGTATGGAAAAATATGAAAGTGAGGCGAAGTTTTTCTTTGTTTTTTCAGTGAAAGAAAATTAAGTCACTCTTAAATATAAAAGTATTGAGATAATAAAAATATTAGGGTCATTATTCCACTAGATATAAGGCATAATATTTGGGGTTTTCTCATTTTTTAATAGTTAAAGTTTTAGTACGTATAAAGGCAAAAGGAAGTATTAAATATTTTCTTTAAGGCCGCTTAAGAAATTGGTAAAAATATTAAACATCTTTTTTTCAATAAAAATAATTGTTAAATATGCCTAAGAAATATGAAAACAATATTAAGGATAAGTTTTTCTCTCGATTTCCAGCGTAAGTATATAATAAAAACGTTTTAAAAAAGCATTATAACTTTGAAAAAGGCTAAGACCTGGAAGGAATTCGTCTTTTTTTCCTAAGAGCTTTAAAGAGTTATAACAAACTGTATTTCAGCAATTTTTCTTTTACTTCTACAGCGCATTTACTTTTATCGTTGACTTTTATTTATCGCATCCAGCAAAAGTGCAGCTTCTTTCTCATTTAAGAATTTGCCACTCTTCTTTTAGTATTAAAGAGTTATAAGTAACTGTACTTCGACCGATCTTTATTTGCTCTCACAGAAAATTCACATTTTACTTAGCGTTTTACTTATAAATGACTTTGCCAAAAAGAAATACGTCACGTTTTCTCTGTTAGGAAACTGTTAGTTATAAGCAAATCCTAAATCAGTTAATCTTTTTTTTAAATTTTAAACAAATTTACGTTTAATTTTGCCTTTAACTTGTAAGATAGCGACTCTTATGTAAAAAGGCAAGAAAAAGTGTAACGTCTTTCTTTGTTAAGCAATTTCTTACTTAACTTGACAGGACTGAAGGGTATTGTGAGAAATATATTGGGCTAAATTTTTCTTATACGCTCCGGATTCTTTTAAAAATCAATAAAAGAATAATAATTATTTTATGTTATAAAAAAATCTTTGTTAATACTAAATACTTTAAAAGTGAATATTTTCTGCTTGAAAAAAGTAATAACAAAATATAACGCCTAAAAGAATTATAACTGCTGCTCTACTATAAAACTTTATTGTATTATTCGCTTTATTATTTTTTTTAAACTTTGCTTTCTTTCTTTTTACAAATATAAAAATTTAAGTTGCCCTGAAAAAATTGACTGCCACTCCAATTAAAAAATTTTCCAAAATTATTTTTCGCTTTAAATTATTTTCATACCGTTTTTTTTTAGATCTTTTTTAATTTACTATTAATTTTTTTACAAGTTCACACGCCTTTTTTTAACAAATCCTTTTATTTACTAACCAAATTTTACAAAGAAAAAGTCTGCATACTAAATATTAATTTTTGTTATAGCTAAGCTTTTATCAAAAAATCGTATAGTAAAGTCTCTAGCAACTGTAAAGATATTTGAAATTTATTTTTTTTCTTAAATTTATTCTAGAAGACGAAAAATGTCAGTATTCATTTCCTTTCTTCCCTAAATTTTTCGTATAGTAACAATATTAAATTTTATTTTTAAATAATTTTAAGCAAAAAAAGTATTTATAGTTAAGTTTTAAAAGTTTTATTTTTCTTTATTTAAAAATTTTTATATCCATTTTCTAACACTTTCTTGTTATTCTCCTTTTGATTTAATTTTTTAAGAGAATTGCTAAGAATGATGAACTCAAGTTTATTAGTGATATGAGTTTGTTAGGAATTTATCTATCTTTTGGATGGCCCTTCAACGAGGTTTTTTTAATTTTTAATAAATATTATATTACAATTTAAATTTTTTTATCCAAAGTTTACTATTATTTATATTCTTCACAATCTTTGGTAAATATTATATATTTTTACTTTTTCTCTTATATAAAGGAATGTTTATTGTATTTTTTATTGCTTTTCCTATGAAAATAGGCCATTTCTCACGCACAAACCTTGATGCAAAACAATCACTGTATCAATTCTTCGCTCTATAACGCTATTGATATATACTATAAAAGTATATACGAAGCGCTCGTTCTGCAGCAGAAAAACCCTCCAAAGTATATTATAGATACATTATTATTATTATTTCTATAATATTTATAGAGAGCGACTCGTCCGACTTTACTCAAAAACTAATGAAGATTTTTTTTCTACCAAACTCATGATTCAAAGTTTGTTTGCGTTATGCAGGCTCTATATATATTCAGAAGGCTTTACGGAACGAACAAACGTATAAAAAAAATATTTTATACAATTTTTAAAGCGAGTGCTGATTCTATACTACTTTTCTTATATAAATAGAATTTATTATTATAACTAATTAAAAATGTTTAGTTTCCTATACTTATATTCTTTTTACTCATTCAATTTATTAAAAGTAAAAATTAAAAACATTTACTTATTACATTCATATACAGAATTGCTTTCTTATTTTTTTATAAAAGTGGATTTATATAATAATCTCTGTTTACATATGTTTAATACATATAAATATTTATTTTAAGGGATCAAGATTTTTTACTTCAACATATGTATATATTCTATGCTTTATAAACTTATTTTTTCATATATATTTACTTCTTTATACCAAATAATTATAATATAATATTTTTTTTAGGAATTTATAAAATCTGCATTATTGAAGTCGGTCGCCGTAAAGGATCTTCCTTTGAGTGTTTCTCTTTATAAACTGCAAAGTCTACTTATAGTTATTATTTATATTATTGTTTCATATATAACTAAACTTTTTTAGACATTAAAAATATAAACATTGAAAATGCCGATAACCTTCATAAAAACGAACTTAAGAACGTTTTGGAAAATCCTTTACACTATAAAATTTTGAAGGTTTTTTATAACTACTTTTTTACCTTTTTAAAAAAATTTTATTTTTTATTACAATAAAAAGTGGGAAGTTGAGGATTTTTTTACGTCAAGCTGAAAAGATTTATTACTTTTTTATTCTAAATTATAAAAGCAATCAAAATAATAATTATAACTTTATTACAAATTTAATATAATGTAGAGCTACCAATGAGGTTAATAATAAAATTTACAGTCATTTTTTAGAGCAATCGCTTTGCAAATTTACATTTTTTTTTAATTTTTTTTAGTTAACATAACGAACATTTGCAATTTGAGAGTCCGCCAAATGGCTAACATTATGAAACCGTCCAGAACTTTTATAAATATAATAAAATATAAAAAATACTTATAAGAAATATAAATATAAATTTATATTAAAATTTATAGAGAAAAAATATATTACTATAGAAAAATTATCAGATATAAAAGTACCCGTATTTTTTATGAATCGCTTTGAACTGAGACTTCTTCGCATCTTTAGCCAATGCAAAGAGTTCATGAACGCAATCATTCAAACTTTCTTCTGAATGTTTCGTGTAATACTCAATTGTTGGGCTCTAAAATTTAAAAATTCATTATTTTCTTGTAACCACAAAATTTTACCGCGAAAAAATATTTTTTACCCAACCGCCAGAGTGGAGCATCATTCGTGCCAAACAAAGAGCCGATGCGGCTATCATTGAAGGCAAGAAACGTAGTGAATCAGTGTAGGGTAGCGTCAATTCCATTAAGTATTTGGCCATCGTGTGAGTTAGAGGATCAGCATCCGCCACTAATAGTAGAATATTAATAATAATAAGTATGTTTAAATTATATTGATTTATAACTATAGAAATAACGAAAATGCTCAAAATGATAAAATAATTATGAAAATTTATAAATTAATAACCATTATATATACGTTCAAACTTTTATATATAGTAATAATAATGTAATAATTTATAATAATTTTTAAAATTTTTTATATTTGAAGGTAAAAAGTTTAATTGACTTTAAGAATATTGATAAATACTCTGAAATTTTACAATATTTTTATACTAAATAATAATACACGCGTTTAAATTTTATTTAAAATAATAATGAAAACGTATATAAATTTATACTAACAATAAATACGTTCTTATATTTATATAATATAATAATAAAAATGTTTAAAGTTCTACTAGTAATAATAATGCGTTTAAATATTTATAAAAAGTAATAATAGTTAAAAAGTTTAAATTTCTAGCAATAATTATGAAAATATTTAAATATCTATCACTAATAATGATGCATACGTTTAATTTATCATATTGAATTATAATAACGAAAACGATTAAACGAACATTAACAGTAATAATACAGAAAATACTACAATTATATCAGTAATAATAAGAATAAGAATAAAAATAAGTACGTTTAGATTTTTAATATAATAATTAAAACTATAATATTAATGTTCCTATATGTATGTATAATAAAACAGATAACAAAAACGTTAATTTTCATATAATGATAATGATAATTAACTTTCGTTTTCAAATAATAATAACTATAAATAAAAAATATATTTAAACAGCTCAAATTTTATTTATAAAAAAAAGGTGGCAAAACGAATTATTAATATTAAATATAATAATAGTGAGTCATTAAAATGTATAAATTTTTTTTTAAATATAATAAAAAAATGATTAAATGTTTAATTTCATATGAATAATAAATAAAAAATTTTGCTAAACGGCTCAAACTAATTAAACAAATATAACGATAATAATATGATATATCTAATTTATATATAATAAAACTATCGTAAATAAAATATGGTTGAAATTTTTATTTATAATAACGATAATAATAACTATTAAGAATAAAATAATTAGGAGAGTAGTAATAATATATATATACAATAAATAAAAAATATATATTTTAGTACAAACTTTCATACAACAATAACAATACTATTTAAAATTTTGTGAATAATAACTATAATAAATAAAAATATATTTAAAATGTTCAAAAATTATTTATAATAAAAAATGTAATAAGATTTATTCACGATAATATTAGTAATAGTAGCAGAAATAGTAAAAAAAAAAAGTGTAAATTTTAAAAAATGTTTAAATTTATATAATAATAAATAATAAATATCTTTGCATTGTTCAGGTTTTACTTATAATAATAACGATAATAATAAGAAAAATTAAATTAAATATTAATAATACTAAAAGTAATAGTAAAAAAAAATCTTTAATTTAAATTATGATATAAAAAAAATTAAATATTTAAATTTATATATATAAAAACGCTAATAATATAATTTAATATATCCGAATTTTATTTATAATAAATAATATAACTGAATTGTTCAAGTCTTAATATATAATAATAACAAATAAAAATAATAAAATATTTCTTTAATTTTAAACTTTTATATATAATAACAATTAGAGTATATATATTTATATAAATGATAACAATAGTAATTATAACATTTTGATGGTAAATACATTTAAAAAAATTATTAATAATCTTCATATTTATATAAATAGACATGATAATGAATATACATATATATAATAAATATATATTAGTTACTTGAATTTTTAAGATATAATAAGTATCTTTAATTTTATAAATAATAAAAATGTTTAAATTTTTATATAATAACAAAGTGATAATAATATATAAATAATAATAGCTTCACTAATCAAATAAAAATAATTTATAAAGTAATAAAAAATATAAGTAGGTTATATTAAAAAGCAAATCATATAATAATAGTATAACAAAAAAAATAAATATTAATAAGTTAAAAAATATAGTGTAGCAATAATAATATAACTTTTATATGATATTAAAAAAATTGATACAAACAGCAAATAATAAAACTATCTTAATTATATTTTTATTACTTAAAAAAGTTTGTTAAACATAATATCATAAAAGAAAAAAAACTTTTAAATATTTAAAATTATTCAATAATAATTTCCTATAAACAAAAATGAAAATATAACTAAAGATGATTTATTTATTGTTTAAAAAAAGTAAATACTAAAAATTACTAATAATAATAAATTTATGAAAGAAAATATAATTGTTAATATAATTAATAATAATTATTGTATTAATTAATTTTTTTTTATTAAAATAAAACTTTAAAAATAACTAGTTAAGAAAAAAAAAGCAGATGTACAACAATAATTATAATAAAAAATAAGAAATCTTGAAAAAAATTTTAATTATTGCTAAGAAAATGATACATATAATTATAAAGATAAAGTGTATATATAAACTTTAAATTATTTACTTATAAAAAAGTTATTATTATAAATATAATTATAAGTAAAGAGTATAAAAACAAAAACTTTAATTATTATTTATAAAAAAAATTTTTTTTTAAGTAAATTTTTTCACATCATTATTAAGTATAAAAAAATTATATTTTTCAAATTATATATCGGTAAAAAGTTAAAATTATAATATAATTATTACTGAGAATAAAAAAATTATTATTAATAAAAGTATACATAAAACTATGAGATTATTAATTAATAATAAATATATAGCTTCTCGTAGAAGAAAAATAAACTTAGAAAGATTATTTTAATGTATGTAAAAAAAGTAGACAAAATAATAACTTTAATTATTATTAGAACTTTTAAATTTTATATTTTTACTAAGAAAAAGTAAATCTTAAAAATATATATAATTATTTGAAAAATTATTTACTGTTAATAAAAAGGGTAAATACTTTAAATAATAAATTTCGTTATCAACTAAGTTTTTCTTAATAATATAAAAAACTTGACACTTTTTTATAAAAAAATACGATAACATCAGATAAAAAATGATAAAAAATAAACAAAAAATCGATAAACTATAAAAATTTTATTAATTAGTTATAAAAATTTTACAGATTAAATCGTTCAACCTTTTGAAGCTCTTCGTAGAAAATGAAGCGGATACGCTGTAGCAATTTGAAAGTTTAAAGTGTTCAAAATAGTTCTTTCCATTTCGAGAATTTGGTTCCGTGTGTAGGCCTTAAAAGGGAAGAACGGTCCCAGAATAAATAATGTTCGGGTAATCGGGTCAAGCAAATAAAAGTGAACTACAATTTAGTTAATTACAATAAAGCGTGGCAGAAATAACTACGCGGTCCAAAATAAATTAAAAGTTTACACCAGCAAAAAAATAAAGTCATTTAATTTAGTACACAGCGGAAAGTTTAATCTTAATCTTATTTGAAGCCAACTAATTCTATGGCTTAATTTGGTTCTCATTTCATTATATTATATAAAAAAGTGATTACTACGAGGGGTCACATTTTTCACGCCCAAAATTATCAATTAAGTTATACGTATAAATAAAATATAATAATTTTCTTATTATACATATAACTTGTTAACAATTTTCTTGTTTTAAGTGAAGAGTTTACTAATAGAATTGGTTTTTAGCAGAAGATTATAAATAAGTATAATACGTCATCCGTAATATAAACAAAATCGTTCACTTCCGGAGCGTAAATCTCTTCAAACTTTGAGCCAATCAGCATGGCTGTAACGCCCACCAGTTGTAGCTTATCACGTGTTATAATAGTCAAACTTAAAAAACGGTCGATAATTGAAACCGTCAAATATAAAGTTTCCTTTTATGGAAAGCATTCACTAAAAAAAAAGAGTATAAAAAGAAAAAACATACTTGAGTCAACTTGAAACGTAAGTGGACATCAATCAGCCAATCAATAAGTATAGCTCGCATTTTAGGGGAAATATCGGTTTGCTTTTTCATATATTCGTGGGAGACTGCATGTTTGCGCTAGACAAAAAAATAACTTATTCGGAAAATAGTATTATAATAAATAAAAATAAGAGTAAATGTTATAAAAATAAAAAATGTATAATATTTTTTAGAATATAAAAAATAGTAACAATTATTATTTCATTAAAATGGTAGCAGTTAGAAAATATTCCATAGCAAAAGAACAGAGCTTTAATTATATTTATTAGTTTATAATAATTATTATAAAAGTTAGAATACTATTATAACTAGTAATAATAACAAAATATAGTTATCAAAAATATAAAAATAAGTGATAATACTTTAAAATAATTATAAACAAATAAAAGTAATCTCATAATAACTTAACTGTTATATAATGTAAAAATAACAATAAATTAAATGAATTATATAGTATAGTAATAAGAGTAATAGATATAATATTATGAACGAAAAAAATAATAGATTAATTTATTTTTATTAGTATTCACCTGAACTACATGCAAATAGTCGTATATGAGCGGAGCATACTCAGCGCAAAATTCCGGAAAGTCTTTATCGAGTTTGTCAATGTTAATAATATTAAATTGTTCATCTTTTGGGCGCTTCTCATCTGTTGGGGAAAATGAAAAAATTAAAAAATAAAGTTATTGGATAATAATATAACCATCAACTTCCATTGGATCAAACGCTCCTTTGCTTTCAAAGTGATTGGACAAAATGTCTTTTTTCAGCTTATTATATATGTCAAATTATTTAGTAGACTTATTAATCCTCATTTCTATTGGCTTTTTAGACTTATTATAAATTTTTAAAAAAAGGTTTTTCATATAACAAAAATAATCCAATCATGCTTGTATGATTAATTATTAACCAATTAGATTTCTCAAATTTTTAAAATATTTTATTCTAAAAAAATTAATAAAATCGACTAAAGAAACTGTTAAGAATTTTAGTTAAATTTAGTACAAAAAGTGCACCATTGAGCTTCTATTAAAAAGTGAGCACATAATTTTAATGAAAAAATACCTACACAACGAAATTCACTTAATTTTTTTTAAAAAAAATACAAATATACGCACCAATAGGCTTCTTTGAATTTGCTTATCTTAAATGAAAAATATCGAGCATAAATATTTTTACAAAATGTATAAATACGTTTTCGTGGTCTTTAGTAAAACATAAATCATATACTGAAGCTCCTTTTTCCTTGGTATTTTGCTTCTCTGAAACTTTATATTATTATTATTAATACTATTACTTTTATTATTTATTAATTTGTTTATTTTATTTTTACTATTATTAGTATTATTACGTAAGTATTAGACATACCCACTGGGAGTTGATAGAGGTTACTCACATCCCGAAGCCCAGTTCCTTATAATAATTATAATAATATTATTAATTTTTTTTACCGTTAGAAAGTTTATTATGTTAAACTCTTTCTAAATCTTTTCTTCGATATTTATAAAAAAAAGTCCATTTTGTTATATTAAGCAAATCACTTACATGCGCAATAATAACAAAACAAAAAGATAAAATAAAATAATTATAAAAAAAATTATTGCTACGAATCTTTTTATATATATTTTTTGTAAAGACTAATTTTTTATTTACCTTAGATATTAATAATATTTGTATTTAGTTTTAAATTTATTGTTCTTTTTATTATTACTATTCATGTTTTTTCTGTTCAATACTCTAAAAAAAATAGTAATTATTATAGTAATAATTTTATATATAAACTAATAATAAAAATAAATTAAAAAGACTATTATATTCAAATTTACTAAACAAAATTTTGTTTTAAATGAAATCTTTTCTTAAATACTTTTTTTTGTAAAAATTACTAAAATATTATCTTTTACTTGTATATATTAATTAAATTAATAGACTTTATTTAAAATCAATTTTTTCAAAAGAAAAAATAATTAATGCACGACTGAAGTTTTTTTGCGCACTAAAAAAAACTTATTATTTTATTAATTCAATTAATATAAATAATTTAAGTAAATATTATTCATTTTTAGTAAACCAATAAAGAATTTGTATAATTAAAAAGTTTTTTTAAGCATAACTACTCTTATTACTATTATTATTATCTTAAGAATACCGGTGGTGAGGCCAGCTCGTTTATACGCCTTAGTATTTTGAGAAATTTCAAGATCGTCCACTTTCCCCGCTGGGAGAGCGGGATCCTTAAAAATCTAAAACGAGTAAAAATACCGAAAAGTTTTTTTTTTCCTTTTTACAGTGTTTTTAACCTGAGAATGGGAAATCATGTGTATAGAATAGTTTAAATATCTCCCAAGGCAAATTTAGAGCGGAAGTGTAAGTTTCGGCAAAAAAATTACAAGACTAATATAAAAAGGTACAAATATATTTATTAGATTAATTTAAAAACATCATTAAACTCTATTAAAAAAATTAAATCTCTAGCCAAAAAAACATAACAATTAAGAAATATACAGAAGAAAACTTTTGCTGATAGTAAAAAAACTTACGTCTACAGAAAAAACTTTGGAGAAACTGTATATGACCAAATAATAATAGTTACTTTACACTATGCAAATGCATTAATAAAATGAAAAACAAAAGGAAAGAAGTTAAAAAGTAAATAAAAAGGGCAAGGGGGGGGCCTGAGGAAAAAATGTAATAGAAGCACCGCACATAATTTATATTCGATACAAATGCTTTCAGGGAAGAGGGCGGTTTACTTTTAAAATGTTTTTTGCTGCAATTCGCATGAATCTTAAAAATTTTTGGCATTATTAATAAGAAAAATTGCCGACTTAGCGTTAAGGTCGGAAGTGTGTCAAGTTTTAGCACAACTTGATGTTTTTTTTGGCATCAAGCAGTAAAAGGGCTATAGTTATATTTATATATCCTTCAGTTCTTTTTTTTGTAATTACTTATTAAAAAAGAATTTTATTGTTAAAGTGGTACTATTAAAAAAAAACTTCTTTTTAGCTCTTAAAATAAATTTACTTAGCAAGTCACAATTGTAAAACCATATATTGTGCCTTAAAATTAAAAAAAAAAGATTTATTTACGATGATTTTAAAAATAGTTGACTTCTCTATTTAATAGGACTATATTTAATTAAAGATATTTGGCTCAACCGTAAAAACTATACTGTTTACGTAAGTATAATAGGTAACAACTACTACATTACAACCAACACCTTTCTTGCTTTACTTTTAGAAATAAAAAAAAATAAATAAGTCCTACCTTAAATTAAACAAATCCCAAATTTAAAAACCAGCCGTTTAGACGCCACATACGTTTAAAAAAAAAAAATTTCAACTGCCCGGAATTTGAAAAAAAAAGCCCGAGTGCTTGAACTTTAAGTTTGAAGGCTGCAGTATTGATTTCTTCTTCCTTTTATGGATGTTAATTGGAACGGCGGTAAAATTATATGTTTTTCGCATATTAAATTAGTTATAAATGAAACTTATTATTAAAGTTGATTGGCTAGTTAAAAAAGTTTCCTAAATAGATATAGTAAATTGTGGAACAGAAAAAAGGCAGAGCTACAAAGAAGGGGTGCACGTTTTCCGTGCGAAAGCTAATTTTTTCGTGGCAATCACTCAAAGCAAACAGTTCCGCGCTAATGGTCGCCCTGTTCTTATATTATAAATGATAGCTAAGTTCTAAATATTAAAAGTTATTTACTATTTACTCTTCTTCATTTCGGAGATATTTAACTTTTAGATTAACGGTGTCACAAGTATTTAAAATCTTTGTTCTTAAATAGCCTGTGTCTCTTCTGTACACAACAGTTTTTGCTCTGCTTTATACAGTAAAGCTATTGTTATTTAAGTTTCATTTACCCTGAAACCTGCACTTTCCTTTAATCGTGCATTAAAAATAGTTTTCTTTAGCGTCTTGTGTTTGAAATTAATGCATATCAGGCTTATTTTTACACAACTAAAAAAGTATTTCAAAAAAAAAAAGAACTTAAAACAAATTTTATAGTAGTATGGTTAATATTGTTCTCCCACAATACCTTTGAATTTAAGTATTTTAATATTATACAACTGCGTAGTTGTATAAATTAGTTGCAATTATTTCCGTTAAAATCATGCAGAATTTATATTGGGATTTAGAGTCAAATAAGGAATAACTTGTCTATCTAGAAAGTAAAATTTACTCAAGATGTAGATGGCGACACTCATTGAATATCTTCTGTAACAAAATTAAGTGGAAAGGTTGCTGAACACTTTAAAATTGTTTTCTCTGAGCTTATTATTATATAGAAGATAATATATAAGCAATAACTGGTTATTTACTAAAAAATTATTTCGAAACATGTTAAGTTTCAATTATTTCAAATTATATTTTTTTCTAGTCTAAAGAATTTTCCAAATAAAAAAAATTCAATATTATAAGTTTTTTAGTAGGTCATTTAATAGCGGATAATTAAATTTTTTTCTGTTAGGCAAAGATTCGAAAAAATTACTTTTCATTAATTAATTATAGATTTAGAATAAAAACCTTTCCGGAAAGAAATTACTAAATAATATGCTGAGTTTTTATTTAAAGGTTTACTAAAGTTCAAGTAAAGTATTAACTACGTTGCTCCTTTCTAAAGTTTTTATGTGTTAAATTTAGCTATAAATTTTTTAAAAACTTCTCAGTCTCAAAAGCAAACTTGTTTAAATTTTCCTCTTTTAATATAATCTCATTTACTCTATGAAAACTCAGTTAAAAGAGTTTGGAATTTAGAGATGGGAAAGTAGAAGAAACAAAAAAAAAAAAAATTAATAAGTCATATATTCGAAAAAATTATTTTTCTATAAAATTTAGAATATAATTAAAGTTCTTCAATACATATTAAATAATGGCTTCAGTACTTCTATTGGTATATTTAAACTAAAGGTAACTTTTACTCAATTTACAAACAACAACTTTATATATAAAATATAAATGTACTCTAATAATGCTTGTTTGTCTCCACCAAAAAAAAAATTATAATCGTAATAAATTCAACTGGTTTTCAAAAACATTTTGAAAAAAAATTTAAATTTAAAAACTTTTTACATACTGTAGATAAAGCAGGTCTAAAAAATGTAATTTAAATTAAAAAAATTGAAGCTATTACAAAGAATGGAAACGAAAAAAATTATTCAGCAAGGGCGAAGTTCTACTTTTATTAAATATTTAGTTTTTTTTTTAAAGTTCATTGTGAATATAATACGCAGAAGCCTCTTCAGAGGAAAAGTAGACACCAAACCAGCTATGCCAATTGACCTCGAGATCATCTTCAAATTTACAGTGAACCTGAATGTACAAAAAAATAAATTTCTTACAAACCAAAATTTTTAATTCAACAATATAAAAATTATAATAAACGATATCACCAATATAAAATAAAATAATTAATATATTTTTTTATAAGATTAAAAATTACGCTCATGAAATAAGAAATTTTAATAAAAAATTCAATATCTAAAATTATCTAATACTGCGTAAAAAGCCTACATTATTTAAACTTCACTTAAAAATTTTTTTAGAGGCAAATAAAAGTATTTCAACAATTTATTAAATAATAGTGTAGCTGATAAAGTACAAGCAAAGAACTAAAAATTTATTAAAAACACCGGGAGAAAAACGGCGCTCTTTCCAAGCCGATCTCAACTTTTAAAGAAAACGATATAAACTCACTAATTTTTTTTAAGTCGTTTAATAATGCTATATATATTACTACCGTCCGCGGTCAAATGGTTAAAAATGATTAAAAAAATCTCTACAAAAAAGATCTTATATAAATTCAACAGTTGTGCGTTATTTAGCGATTTATAGCTTCAGAAATTTATAATTAATATACATATATATATATATATATATATATAACTTAACAATAAGCGATAATAAATCGGTTCGCACTATTTATAATGTTTGTAACAAAATATAAAGGTAAAGGGTCATCAAAGCGTTCGACAGTTAGCAAAAAAAAACTTAAAATTTTTCGGAAAAATTAGTTTATGTTAGCTTTATAAACCTGTAATTATAAGTATCACGCGCATTTTAATCATATATTTTAAGGACACTAGAAAAGTATTTAAAAAAAAAAGCTTTAGAAAATAAAGTAAAATTTTAATTATAAAGCTTGACTATTAACAAAATTGAGTGTGTAGAGATTGCTAATGTTTTATAAACTTAACTAAAAATTAAAGTACAGCACAATTTAGGTAATAAATTATATCCTTTCTAGAAATATTGTTACTATAGATATAGCGTTTATAAATTTACTTTTTTACTGACTACAATATTATTTTCTAAATTTTGTTATTAACTCTAAATACTTTCAAAACTATGAAAAAATTTGTTAATAGTTGATTTATATATGATTTTAATTTTGAAAAAAAAATACTTATTGTGATATTTTTCCATAATTTTGGATATCGTTATAAAATTAAAAAACTAGTCTTTACAATTCATAAAAATACTTACATATTACAGCGCCTTTATAAAAAAGACTGGAATTCTAGCTAGATTAAACTTATAAATAAATATAAAGTTCTTCAAGAAAATACTTCACCAAAATAAATAATATTACCAACAAAAAAGATATATAAATAGACCGACACGTACCAACTCCTGAGCAAGTAAGAACACTATTAATAATATAACTATAGTAGAGGCTAGTTAGTTAACTTTTCAAGTTTTCCCACAAGGTTTTGCCTATATACATACCTTAACAAAGAAGGTGCCAAAACTTAAATACTTGACAAATTATTAAGTAAAATTTTGTATGTGCCGCCCGATTTATAAATAAAAATGAGCTAATTCTTAACCTTAGACAAGTAAGAAAAACGTTAAAAAAAAGTAATGGCAGAAGGCCCCCTGAACTTCCTTACATCCAACGGCATGAAAAGGAGGGGAAAAAATCACCCAACAAAACTCAAGACAATAATACTGAAACTTTAAATATCTATATTAACAATTAAAAAGTTTAATTGGTTAAAAACTTTATTCGTAATTGGGTTCATCTCTATGTTTAAAGAATAGAATATCTCGATATTATTTATTATAAAGTTTAGCACTAGGCTAAGAGTTACTTTAGTGTATAAATATGAAAAATATTTTTTTTTTAATCCACAAAAAAAAATACTCTTATGAATACTCAGAAAAATATAAACAAAAACAAGAAGTATACAAAACCAAAAATAATGAACCTTTAGTAAGTATAAATAATTTTAATCTGCAAAGCACGAGTTGCTTGTATTAATAAAAACCTCATTCTGCCCTCGAACAACATCCATAGGAAAAGTGTAACGGCCACTACTTAGCAAAGCGCCAGTGTCCACATGTTTTAACTGGATCTATATAGTTATAATATAAATCTCAATGCAAATTCTTATAATATTTAAATAATAGATTATAATAACTAAATAACAAGTTAAGAAGTAATTTTTATATATTAAAAAGAATATAACATATCTAAAAGGTAGAATACGTACAAGTTAGTTGAAACTATATTTTAACTATATACAAAAAGTAAACATGCCGTTGATTCTCGTTTCCACGAGCCTTTGCACTTTATTTCCCAGTTATCACCTTTTAGTGGATAATAAAATATAATAAAATATAATATTTTATTAGAATCAATGAATTACAAACCTTTTTATTGTTTGTTAAACAAAAACTAAATAGTTTGATTAGGTAAATAAAAGTAGTATGATTTAGAAGAGGTAAAATTGCTAGCTATAATTAAAAAGCAGCTAAAAGATTTTGATAGCAAAAAATTAAAAATCAAAAGAACACCAGAATCGCCGTTTACATTTTCCTCTGATCCATAAGCGCTAACTTCTTGACGATGTGTTAAAGGGGATTTATGCCGATGACTGTGAAGAAACTTTTGAGTGTTGACGTGGAATAAACGAATGAGAGAATTACATTTTATTGGTTCACCTTTCATCCAAAAAGAAAAAGTTAAATTATAAACACTATAATCAACTTTACGTGAACGATAAAATATTAAAAAGTTTGTATACCTCTTCTACAAGTTTGATTATAAGCAGCTTGAACTTGCCAGTAACTATTAGGGTCGTCGTCACGAACGTTAGAGGTAACAGACTTGCATGAAAGGTAGTAAAATTTATTTTATTTTACTTTAATAATTGATAATGAAAAACCTGCTGGTGACTACCAGACCCATAAGTAACGGGATGCGAGTGAAGATTGTACTTAGTTTGATCATGCTTTAGCTTTATAATGCTCCCACAGGTTACATACTCGTAACCTTTAAAAATAATTTATTTCTAACAAAATTATGAGTATAAAATGCAAATGCAGATTACCTGATTCAAAAGAAATGGCTGATGAGGCCAAAAAAATAAACAGAAAAAGAAACATTGAGTTCAATATATTGACTTCCGAGGATTGATAATATTCTATTATGGTAAAATTTTTCAAAAGAAGTAATGAAAAGTCCGGATTGAGGAAGTACTTCAAACAATTGCAACTAGAACTCCTTAATATCAGTTTAACTATACTAAAGTTATACAGAGTCCTTATTGGAAATTAAGAGCACGCACTAGTTATTTAGCAGTATTACTACATTTTTTAACACAAATAATCATAATCAGCTCAAAATTTTGCAAGTATCCGTAATCATAACCAAGGGAAGTTTACGTTGTAGGGAGTGACATTTAATAAGAAATCATATAATCGACTAACACTTTTTATTTCGTAAATTAATATTTTGTTTTTCACAAATTTAACCAGTGATGTACTTAAATAATTAAGGTTGTTAATTGCTTAAAAAAATTAATAGTAGCTAGGTTAAAAGAAAATATTAGAACTATGCAAGTTGTACAAATTCTTGTAAAAAGGTGAAAGTTAGCAAATGCCAGGTAAGAAAAAAAAATTTTTCTAGTACAGCTGGCAAAGGGCATGTTAACAAAACAAGCTAATGTGCATGAAAAGGTGTCTGTCTACCAGTCTGCCTAAAGTATAGGTAGAAGTTGCGTTTTACTTATATATTACTGGTAAACCTATAAAAAAGCATCCATTATATTAAAACCTTCTATTTACCTGTCTTCCGAATAAACCGCGCAGCGGATCAGCGAGAAAAGCAAAAATAACCTCGACATCTGCTTCTATTTTTACTATATTTTTAGCACCGGTATGCTGGGTTCGGCCATATTCCTCTCCTCGTGGGGGGTTGAGAAATTAATGATTACTCCAGTATTTCTTCTGAGTTATATTGGCTGCCCCGAAAGACTGGGACACAGCGTAGAAAAAAGGAGCTCAATCTTCGGTTTTCGGGCCTGATGTGATGGAATAACGCCACCATTAAGAGGTGTGACCTTCACAATTAACTTCTAAAGAATAATTATTTAGGATCTTTAATGTGGTTATATCTCTTTTTCGTGAATTCATTTAACGTGATAGAAACTAAAAATGTTAAGATTAATTCGAAAATGACGTAAAAATATTGACATGATTGGTTGCATTAAACGCTGTTTAGTTGCTTCATTGAAAGGGACGCCGGTTCGCTCCTATTAAAATTAGTAAAACGCTTTCCGACAAATAAAAATTATTTCACCTTTTAGAAAAGAAGCCCTCACGATGGGTGTAAATTATAATATATATGTTTCCAAATAATAGATAAACCTAAAACTTGTATCAAAATTTTAAATAAAGAAATGTATAAAAGAAGTACACTAAAATTAAGAATGGCTTTATTGGCAAGTTTCGGGTAGTAGTATTTATACCTTTACAAAACATCCGAAACGCTTCCAAATGCACAATTAATTTAATTGAACCAGATAAAATTTACTTTGTTTAGTTTGTATCCAATTAATAAGGTAGGTCAAATTAAATTTTTCTGTATAGAAATTTAATTTCTATCTTGTATTTTTGTTAATTGCTCTCGGGTTTTTGATTGGATTAATCACGGATAGTTTTTCCTGTGAAAATATATTTTATTTCTTTTTCCTTGTTTACGTGTATGTGTTTTTTGGTTTTGTACTTTATGCTTAATGTATTATACAATATAATTTTTGTAATGTCGTGTATATTAAGCTATTGTGTTTTCTTTCACTATAGTTTTTTTCAACTCCTAAAGTATTGTGCGTAGAACTTAGTTTAAAAATATTACTGATATACCATTAGTAAAGGATTATACCATCTTAAACTTATTGCGCAGACCTCGCGTGCGGGTCATAGCATCCTTATCATAGTACAAGTCACCTTTTTGTTTAATGTTATGTACATTTACGCACCTAAGTTGCTGTATTGAAAAACTTCATACTAGCAGGTTCGCTACAATATTGCTTATTTGTGTCTATAAATGATGGCGTTTAAGCTCATGAGTATAGGTCAAAGGGAGAGAGCAGGAAGGCTAAATGAACGTGAGACACCACCTTATACATGTTTTTTGGTGATCTTTTTCTTCGAAGGCAGGTGATATATCAACAACCGTTTCTGCTAGAAAAGAAACACTAAATTACCACACAAACCTAAGGAACGTGCTCAATGATGGTAGCAGAATATAGATTTTAAAATGAGAAAAAGTGAGAAATTCAAGCTGGTTCCTAGTTCAAAGTCATTAGTTTCAATCTGGTGCTATTATAGCCCTATAGTGCAGGCGCGAGAAGCCCGCACTAAGGAAAGCTAAAAAGAGACTAGTGCGTGCACAGTAATAGAATGAAACTAAGAAACAAAGAATAGGGGTTGATTTTATTTTAGATTGGTATCGCTTTTATACATAAAATTTATGAAATTTTCGTGAGTATTCTTAATTACATATTATCTTGAGATTTTGGTAGCTGTTAGTTTATTACAGAGCTTAATGAAAAGGGTTTTTATTACTAACCGCGGTTACTATCTTACAATGTTAAAATTCCTAACAATGCACATTGGTTGCTGTGACGGTTAGCTTGGATCAGCTTTAGAACTAAGTGTATTCACGAATCCCTGCAACAGGAAATACTGTTATGGGCGGGCTTATTAGGGCAGTCCTTCCGACTGCTTTTGATTTTCGTCTACTTGTACGAGACGAAAGCTTAGAGCATAAAGCTACAGTAGCCAGTTATTAAAGAAATTGGATAACGTTACCTCTAGCACTCGGAATATTACACTAAGTGTAGTAAAATTGAATTACTTAGATTCAAATTAGTATTGGGTTCAGGGTGATAAAAAAAATTTTAAAATGACAGCATGAAAATGTTCAATTCCGTGCTGCTGCTATCTTAAATATACAAGCTGTATAGTATGATAGCACACTATATAAAAACACCTAGACAAAGTGCAGAACAAAATATGCAAAAACATGAAAAACATGAAAACACCAAAAGCAAAGAAAATATGGAACACAAACATAGAAAACAAATTAAATAGTATATTACTTTGGGTATATAATACACCAACCATAAAACGCAAATACACAAAACGCTAAACCCCTTAAATTCTCACAGGGTTTATTTCACTGGATATTCATGACCTATTAGTTGTATAATATGGTAGATTGCATATTATGGGCTATTCGGTACTATAATATAGAATTTTAAAGATTCAACACATTAATTTATTTAAAAAATATAAAGACTCCTGGGGAGCACCACACACAGCCAAACCACAAATCAAGAAGAAAGAAGAGTGAGGTGCTCGGGCCAGTGCAAAAAAGACACGATACAAACTAGAAGCTTATCTTATACGTAAAATTGAAGTGTTTAAATATTCTATATAATGGTACTGTTTTTAACATTCCTAAAAATAAGTTAAATACAAGAGTTTATAGTGCTTATCCCCAGAGAGTATAATGTGTAAATTTATTGTTAAAATTGCTAAAATACATATAAAGGTGTTATCTAGGGTTTTACCTATCTTAGTTTAGTATGGCATGTTTTCATTCCTTCATTCATTCATTGCATTTAACATATGATAGCAGAAGTATTCGTTCATAACTATTTACCAAATCACAATTATGAAAATGTTACACTAAGGTAAATAATAGTGTAATTAACAATGTTAATTAATTTATGTCAATTTTCCGCCAAATGAGTCAAGATTTTGTTTGTTATGTTATGTTATGCTTATGTGAATGATTTGTGACTTTCCTTTACATATAAATAACCGTTAGCCCTCGAGGTTTAAGCCCTCGCCTATTCACAGGAAAAACTGACCAATGAGTAAATCCACTCGAACACATGAAAAACAGCCAATTAAAATACAAGAGAAGAAAAATTTAATTTACTACCGCATACAAAATAGTTTAACACAATTAAATAATTGGACACAAACTAAGTAAAATATTTTAAAAACAAACCTGGTTAAATTAAATTTAATAAACAAATATAAAAGCATTTTTTGACTTTTTGTAAAGGTATTTAAACAGGTCGTAAACTGACCTATAAAGCCTTCCTTGCTTCAATATTTTATATTATATGTTTTATATATATTTTATTTTATACACTTCACATTTTACTTGCTTATACACGTTTATAAGTTATAATTTTAACTCTTATATCTTATATACATCTATTTAAATACATCAGGAACAACTTTTGATACTGCATTGCTTAATTAACTTCTTTGATCATTTAAGTAGATCTTCTGATACTAACTCGACATTTGTTCACAATGGCTGGCCCTACATCGCGATAATGGCAGCCCAATGAGGGACGAAGAACGTAGGCAAGAGGCAAAAGGCAGTAGAGGACAGAAAAAAATTTTTAGTTAAATGGTTGCTCACATATATATGACCCATCAATGAAGTAATTATAAAAAAAAAATTATAGTTTTATTGCAAGTTTTTAATCGTTGTTTCACTATAGACTACCTTAGTTAACTAGAAATTAATTAATAAAAAAATGCTACGCAAGCTCGCAATGGTTCTACCCTATGTTATTAATAAATTTATCTTAAAAATTCTTATCCAAAATTTTACAAGCTCTTTTTAAGTTAGACGTTATGGGGTTGGACGTAGATAATTCATTCCATCATAGCAACAATTCTGTCTCTCCAGATTCTAAGTGCTTTGTAAAAACTTTATTTAGTTCACTTATAGCACTCCTAATTAACTTGCTAATGTTAAGGGCTATAAATACGTACAGTTTCTTTTTTAACTATTCTAAGGTTTTATAATATGTTATCAATAGCAGTATTTTCAAATTGTTTTGGCGATAGCCAGAGCCGCATTCCAATGTTTCACCCCAGTCTCTGAAACCTAAAAAAACGGAAAAGGTCTTTCATCTTTTTACTATCTAATTTTTAATGATAATACTAATAATAATAAAAGTTTTAAACCTTATAATTTTTTTCGATAAGGTTCTAGAACAATTTTTTTTCTCTTTTATAAATTTACAATTAAAATAGATGTTATACATACTACTGGAAACTCTTGCTTTATCTAACAGTACAGTTGTCGATTTCAAGCGTGCGATGGCAGAG